GATGTCGTGTTTCATTCTTTGTTAATGTGTGTGTTGAATAAAGGTGTCGAATTTTGTTGCCTTACAGACTTTACTGTTTATAGAATTCAATCGGTATGTTTACATAATTTCGTCATGAGAACATCATTTGGTAATTTCTTTAGTCGCGTTCCTTTTTTTATTTGTTAATGGGGGCTTCAACCTTTAAAGGCGCCTGGCTTTTGGGGAAAAATACTAGATGATGTGGGATTTTTACCTCCCTAAACCCTCCTTCCCGGTGGCCACCGTCAACGCCTATAAAGGGACACTGCCTGGGACAATCATTAATCGCGTTCCTAGCAACTCAAAACAGAATTAAGTCATGAAAGAGGGTATTTTGAAACATACTTGAAACCCTTATCCTTAAAACGCTGGCAACGAACTTATAACTCTTTTTGTGTCGCGGATGTTCATGGGCGGCGCTGATTGCTTACCATCAGGTAATCCGTCTACTAATTAGCTAACTTATACTATATTGGTCGGCCCGACCGGGGTGATACCACGGCCTCACAGCAACACGGTGTGAAACAACTACAGCGTTGGGTTTCGCCTTGTGAGGTTACCGGAGGTCCAATCCTTCCCGAATCCCTAAATCCCCAAAAGGTGGGAAACGTACTCATAACTCCTCTGTTGTGTGTCTACGGGCGGCGCTTATTGCTTACCATCAGGTAATCCGTTTACTAATTAGCCAACTTATACCATAAAAAAATTAGATTGAATACCTCCTCTTTTCAACAACGCCTATTTTTCATTAAGCATCGAAAGATTTAACAGCTGACCTGATCAACCTTTAAGAAACTGGGTGTATAGCTCATATTATAACTTAATCCGTCGGTGACTAAGCTTACTGGTAGCGAGGTTGACTCATACAACCTTTTAATTAATTTCCAGATTCTTCCTTGTCTCGCTAACAATAAAGACAATAAATAGTAAATAATGTCTGCAACGTTCAAAAAAACTATTTTGTGAAACATTTTTTATCATAAAATTATAATTAATTGAGATTATTGTCTGTTCATTCACTCCAATTAAATGTTACAGTTGCTTAATTCACATCTGTACTGACTAAGGTGACGCAATCCTTAACTCTAAGATCTCGTATTGTTTGTTTCAAGGGTAAACTACAATAGGTGTGGGTAACAAGTCTTTATAAACTGTTTTATATATCCATGCTTCGGCACGAATAGGTCGGCTCCACCGGAGTGATACCACGGCCTCACAGTAACACGGCGTGAAACAACCACAGCGTTGTGTTTCGCTGTGAGAGTGAGGTTACCGAAGGCCCAGTCCTTAATCCCCAAAAGGTCGGTAAAATACTCGTAACTCCTCTGTTGCGGGTGTCTATGGGCGGCGCTTATTGCTTACCATCAAGTGATCCGTTTACTCGTTTGCAAAGATACTCAATTTAAAGCATTTTTAAAATGACTGCACGGTTGGCGCGGTGGCTGGGCAACTGGCTGCCGCGCAACGTGTCGCGGGTTCGATTCCCGCACGGAACAACTCTTTGTGTGATCCACAGATTGTTGTTCCGGGTCTGGGTGTGATGTGCATGTGAAATTGTATGTTTGTAAACGCACCCACGACACAGGAGAAAATCCTAATGTGGGGCAACGTTTTTAAAAAAAAAAAAAAAATAAATATATGATCCTTGGGAACATAATCAAATGACTTCTCCTGCCCAGAGTCGAGCGGGAGAGAGTGTCAGACTCTTACTGACTAAAAACTCCCCCGTTCCTTCTCCTGCTCTAGGTAGAGGCTGCGGTGCATCAATGCTCTTACAACGCAACCCCGGCTGAACATCAGCTCTATAAGGCCCCGTCTGTTGTGGTCTATTGGCTCTAAATAGGCTCCTAACGCAGTTTTTTTTTAAGGGGAAAAGCTCGTCGTATGTCTGTCGAATTTCCAAGGTGGGTTAAAGAGAGTATCAGACTTTTACTGACTAAAAGCCACCCCTCGGTACATTACTGTCCTTGCACCTAGAATATCTGCCCTATTGGACCCCTTCTTTGGTGGTCTAATGGCTCTTTTGGACGCGCAGAACGCGACGCGCCGTATACTCTAGTCTGGGTCTGGTCTAAGTTTGCACCTATAAGCCCAACTAGCGGTTGGATTCCTTAATCCGATAAGTTAATATTTTCTGGTACAATGTACATTGTTTTGACATTCATTCAAGTTAAATATCAAAATAGTCAAAATAGAATTGTCCTAAGACAAGAAGACCTTGACATTGCTTATCTCTTTCTCTGTACGGACAATGTGACTAAGAAACACTTCTGCCTAACCTCTTACTATACTATATATACTAAAATATAGTGTAACGTAATCGTACAAGGACATAAAATCTACATAAAGTCATGTAGTGCGTCATACGGTAACAGGGACATACGAAAGCATACATTTAGATACGCTACACCGGGTTCAAAACAAAACAACTTATTAACATGGATTTCACATCAAAATATTGGTACAGTAACTATCATAAGACATACTATCATAAGACATACTTAATTGATTGCAATATATATCTTGTTATTGTGAACGTTTCGAGAGAAGCTCGACTAGTTTCAAGCCTGACTGGGGCTTATAATTATATACAGTGTGTGCTGTGAATAAGGTTCTTCGAACGAACAGTTTACCGAACGAAACATTGTTATTTAATTATAAAATTAAGTGTGGGAGAGTCATGCTTCGGCACGAATGCGTCGGCTCGGCCGGAGTGATACCACGGCCTCACAGAAAACCGGCGTGAAACATCACAAAGTTGTGTTTCGCCGTGTGAGTGAGGTTACCGGAGGCCCAATCCTTCCCCTACCCCAATCCCTTCCCAGTCCCAAAATCCCCAAAATCCCAATCCTTAAATGGTCGGCAACGCACTGGTAACTCCTTCTTTGTTGCGGGTGTCCATGGGCGACGCCGATTGCTTACCATCAGGTAATCCGTCTGCTCGTTTGCCGTCCTAACACATAAAAAAAAAAAATTAAAAATAAAAGGTACTTAGGTATAGATCTTTTCGGTAATTGGTACATATACCTATCTGAGTTTCTTTTTCTAGAAATAAATATTAAATCGAACAAAACATCGGTTTTCCCTTCCTTATAAAGACGGCGCATTATTATGCTAATTGTAGTACTCTACGTTAACATACGACAAACATCAAAACAAACGATTTAAAGTCGCACTCAGGAGTATTGCAGCAGACTCCATTATGTGTCGTTTGAATATTGTCAGGACAAGATGGCGACCGACTCTTATGGTGAACATTTTACGACCTAAGTGCTTCTACATACATACATAATAAAAGTACATAAAACATCTTGAAACAGCTATCTGCGAAAGAAAAATAATATTCTTGACAAATCAAAAGAATTTTGAATGGTCTTAGATCTTCTAGTTGTGGACTAAAGGACGATGTTCTTTGCAAATTTTTGAAAAATACAAGGACCTTCTACGTATATAAATCCAATAAGTACAAAAGTGGATTCTATTGAAAAATATTACCTTTAGGTATAGATTTTTGACATCCATTCTCCATACGTACATGAAAACATAGAATTTCTTCCAAAATCTCGATCGTTTCGGGTTATTTATTAATAACCTATTTCAATCCCCGATCTCTTCCCGAAACGATCGAGATTCTGAAAGAACGAAAGAGACTGTTATTTTCAAACTAAAAATTTTCCAACTTTAAGATGTTTTTAAAACATTTGTTAGACAAACCTTATATTTCACCGGCCGTGTTAGTGAGGTTACCGAAGGCTCAAACCTATAAAAGTATTAAATTTGAGGATTGAGGATAAGGGGAGCAGGGAAGAATTGGGCCTTCGGTAAACTCACACACACGACGAAACCGAAATACAACGACCCATTTGTGCCGAAGCATGGCTCTCCCACACTTATACTCACTCTTAACTCTACAGAGGAATACAATGAAAAACAATGTTTTGAACGCCTAATAAGGAAAAAAGCAAAAAGAAAAACACCATCTCACTCACAAACCGACTAGACGTTGATAATCAATCATCCCCACTCCACTAGAAACAATACAATACAATCCATAAACCAATACATTATTCAACAACACAAACTTTTTTACTACACCAACTTTAAACTTCAAATATCTTCCCCTTAACTTCCCTAAAGGGGAGGGGGGATTGGTTGAAACTTGTCCGTAAACACCCCATTTCGTCCCCTTAGCCCAAATCAGGGGGTTAAATAGGCTATTGGACACGGTAATGTGGGGAAGTTTTTGGCACGTAGGTTTTTAAATGGTCCTTTTTTTTCTTGTTTCTTGGAGTGGAAGTGAGAATATACATTTATTTAGGTTTTTTTTTTAAATATACCTATTGTTTGTTGAATTTGTTATTTTTTGTTTTTCTAGTTGATTTAGATAATGACAACCTTTTTTCCGGGCTTTGATTGTTTTTGTGCAACTTCTGTTAAAAACTATCGTCGATCCAAAAACTTAGGGTCGGTACCTAGTTGATTTTAGGTTATGTTTTGTACCAAAACAAGAAATAAGTTACTTTCAAATAAGAAGAGAAATAAAAAGAGTCTGTGCTTAATAGAATGTTATTAAAAAATCCTTAAATTAATAATTATTATTAAATTATGTTCTTACAATATGTATAAAAGTTGCCTATTCAAGGTACATAATATTATATTATCTGTTATTTAACTCGCAAGTCACCTTCACAACTTAATATTGTAATAACCTGCACCTGTCTTCTAAATGAAAATATAATAAACTAAAAATAACGTTTATAAATAAGGTAATAATTACTAGTAAACCTAAGTTCACAAATCACAAAATATTCATTATTAAAAAAGCAAAAATTAATTTGTTAGTATTAAAATCTGGGCCAACGCCAAGTACTTTCTCCGTGCACCAAATAATTAAAAACTAGGGCGTTCGCTGTGTTCATGAAAAAAAAGCCTAATTTAATAATTTTGATTAAATATTTTCTTTTTTCTTTTCTTTACAGAGTCGAGGATGAGGCAGCTTCGCCAGTTACAAAAACAAGGTATTTTGAATATGCTTTCATCTATTTATATTAAGATGCCTTTTTTGTTAGGGTAAAATAATCATTAGACTTCTCCCGCCAAGGGTAAGGCGAGAGGGAGTGTCAGTGTCTTACTCACTAAAAACCTCCCTGTTCCTTTTCATGCTCTAGCCGAGGTCGCGGTCTTGATTGCGCTTGCCTAGTGAGGTTAGGGCAAGAGGCCTGAATACCGTTTTAGTTAGAAAAAAAGTAAAAAAAAGACTTTAGTTTTAACTAGGTTTTGCCCGCGACCGTTCGCGTGGAATAGTGACTTCCTGCAGATTTTTCTTCTTTCTTGTGTTCCAAAATATGTCTGTACAACATTTCACAGGAATCGGTTCAGTAGTTTAGGCGTGAAGAAAAGACAAACAGACAGACAGAGTTACTTTCGTTTGTAGTTTGGATAGTTTGGATTATTTAACTATTAATTGACCGAAGACTTCTCGTGAGGCAATGCTATACTCTGTTATTCCTTCAATGAAACAATGACAACAAAGGAGTTACGAGTGCGTTGTTGACCTTTTGGGGATTAGGGACTTGGATATTTAGTGATTGGCATTTATGCCATGATGATAAAAAAGCGGAACTTCGATTTCTAGGTATTATTATTGCGCTATAGTTATTTCAAAAACAATACTTGTACATTAGTTATTTTATGAACAAACGCGTTGAGTACTATCTAGCATTCAATATTCTGTATTCGACCTTCAAACATCGGCCTGTCTGAACAAAAGACTAGCAGAAAATCTAATTACAGCCAACTGTCTAGTCTTAAACTGAATTGCGTAAAAGTAGAATTGGAAAATCAGTAAATACAGAAAAGAGGTTTTGCTTCGGAAGTTTTATGTATGTAGGTACTTTTAATTTATTTGCTACTAGCTTTTTCCCGCGACTCCGTTCGCGTTGAATAGTGACTTCCTGCAGATTTTTGGTAGGTATAAAAACTATCCTATGTCCTTTCTCGAGTTCCAAAATATGTCTGTACCAAATTTCACAGAAATCGGTTCAGTAGTTTAGGCTTGAAGAAAAGACGGTCAGACAGACAGAGTTACATTCGCGTTTATAATTTTAGTTTGGATTAATCCTTTTACTTTTTATATCTTGGCGTATAGTGGTATCAGTCTACACTTTTAACCGCTGCAAACACGGGGCTGTTTTTTTAAAGTACTTTGGTGGTAGGCAACCATATTTTTTTTAATTAAGTTATTTGAACTACATACATTGTAAACTCAGTAATTTAAGCCAGGGTTGCGGGTAAAGTGCAATAATGCATCGCGACCCCGTCTTGGTCAATAGTCTGAAACTCCTTTTTACCCCATCTAGGGCGGAATAATTAATTTAATGATTTTATCCCATCAATATTAAGTGTTATTGAAAATTACTTGTCTCGGGCCCCCAATCACTCCGAATCTCTCATAACTCCTCACTCAATCACTCGTAACTCATCTGTTGTTACGGGTGTCCATTGGCGGCGCTGATTGCTTACCATCAGGTAATCCATTTGCTCGTTTGCCGACCTATCACTATTTCTCTATTCTCTATTCACTAAATACTCTATTTCTCTTGTCCGTATATTTAACCTTTTTGACTTTTAACCCGTAATTAAGCGTATTAAATGTCCCATTAATAAAGTTATCTTGACCTCGAGAATCCACTACCTAATGCGTGCTTAAAAATCATACACGCAACTACCAAATACCAGTATTATTTGGGAAATAGGTCGACAAAAACTAAAAATGAATCTAGTTGTTCATAGAGTTGCATCATTGCATTAAAACGTGATTATAATTACACATAATTGGTAACTAATTGCAATTATAGTTACGATTTAGCATTCGGTACTAGTTACTGGAAATTGTTTTTATCCTAATCGTGAATCGAGAAAAAATTTACAGCTAGTTATTTACACCGTGTTTTCTTCTACGCAAGTGGTTCCTTATCCAAATCCAAACTAATATTATAAATGCTAAAGTAACTCTGTCTGTCTGTTTGTCTCTTTTTCACGCCTAAACTACTGAACCGATTTCTGTGAAATTTGGTGCAGACATAGTTTGGAACTCGAGAAAGGACATAGGATAGTTTTTATACCAAAAATCTACAGGAACTCACTATTCCACGCGAACGGAGTCGCGGGCTAAAGCTGGTAAATAAATAAGCCACGTCCGCCGCGTTATGTATCACATGCACATGAATACCTATGAACCCCTTGCGTGGCTTGAAACTAGTCGAGTTACTTGGTCAAGCAGTTATTGAATATGTCTCAAGATATTATAAACCTAATTAATATTATAGATGTGAATGTTTGTGAGAATGTATGGAATTTAAGTTTGTTATTCTTTCACGTAAAAACAGCTGACCAGTTGGTGTTGAAATTTGGCGTGTAATAGGTGATACCCTTTTATTTTTTTGTGGGGGGATACTCGCCAAATGACTTCTACCGCCTAAACAAAAGTTCCAAAAATTCAGGTTACGTTCAGAAGTCCGTATTTAGGTTCAATCAACAAGCTGTGGTAGTCAAATGATTATGGACATCTTTTTGTGTCGCGTCTAATAATACCCAGGGAAAGAGTAGGGGTGGCTACAAATATTTTCAACTCTGCCTTTTTCGCGTGACTTTAAGGTTTGGTTAGGAATCATCATCACTGATTATCCAGTTCTTTATTTGAAACTCTCGGTCAAAGTCAAATCATTGATTTCAATTACGCAATATTTATTTATTTATTTATTTATTTACTTTATTTTACAGAAAGCTTACAGACTTATAACAAAAATAAATACTGTATTTTATGCTAGCGGACAATTGCTAATTAAAAGCTTCCACATATATATAAATATACCTACATATACTATGTAAGTGTCAAGAAATAATTAAGTCGACTACGTGCTCTTTTCAGATAGATTCGTATCGAGAAGAACGAGCAAAAGAGATCATCTTTACTCTTTTTTCTTAAAAAAAAGGTTTGTTAACCTTCTCAGCAGAAATGGAAAAAAATGCATTATTAAATACCATCCGGACCTTTTTTTATTCAATATATTTTTCCTACCGATGTACTGTTATACAATAGGCTTTAAAAATATTTCTATGACAGACAAATTCACGAAGAAAAAAATCATAGTAATAATAGAAGAACCCTGAAAACATGTTTAGAATTGTTCAGTTTTGTTGTTATTGTTGAACGAAGTGGCCGTGTCTAGTGTTGTGCATACGAATATACAACTATTAGTGCTCACATTCACGTGCGAATAACTATCGACATCCTAATCAGTTTAAGTGTTTAATTTAAAATGATTATTAGGAAAAGGAGATACCATTATATTCGGTTTGTTGTTTTTATTTATTAATTATTTTACTAGATACTTGCTACCTGTCCTTCTGCAGCTTCATCTACTAAGAAATTAAAAGATTTTCTTGAGTTTCAAATTCTCACTTAGGAGGGATACCAGGATGAAAATTATTAGTCTCTGTGGAGTGTATGAATGTGTAATTAATGTGATAATAAACCAAATGAATCTTAGCTAGATTATTATCTATACTAATATTATAAAGAGGTAAAATTTGTAAGATTGTAAGTTTGTATATAGGGGGTAATCTTTGGAACCGCTGGTCGGATTGCCAAAATTCTTTCACTGATAGATAGCTACAATGTTCCTGAGTGCTGTAGGCTATAAAACATTACGCTACGATTAAATAAAGCTGAGCAGCGGGTGAAACCACGCGAGAATAGCTAGTAACGTATATTAAAACATGTACCTAATAATGACCACAAAAAGTGATTTTTTATGTGATTGGTCGGCAAACGAGCAGACGGATTTCCTGATGGTAAGCAATCAGCGCCGCCCATGGACACCCACAACAACAGAGGAGTAACGAGTGCGTTGCCGACCTTTTGAGGATTAGAGATTTATGGGATTTAGGGATTGGGGAGGGATTTGGGGAAGAGAAGGATTGGGCTTCCGGTAACCTCACTCACACGGCGAAACACAACGCTGTGGTTGTTTCACGCCGGTTTTTCGGTCGAGCCGACCCATTCGTGCCGAAGCATGGCTCTCCTACACTTAAATCACTGACTTTGTTGTTTGACATTGTTTATCTCACAATTGACCTGAGTGAACTCGATAAATTTCAAACCATACTAGGTGTCATAAGCAGTATGATCAACACTAGCTAATAACTTATAAGTGGTACCACAAAAAATAGGTGCATTTCGTAGCGTTTCGTTTGTATAGTTCACACAAAGTAGGTTGGTATATTGTAATTTGGAAAAACCTCGTTTTACACCACTCGGGTATCGAAGTCACGTACTTATTTCGGTCACTAATTGTTGCTAGAACCTGTAACGGTCAGTAAAATGGTCAGGTACTCGTGTACTTAATTGTTCGTGTCGAGCGCGCGACCTTGCGAGGACGTTGAGAGTATAGTGATAGGCGGCAGCGAGAGCGATTTTATTAAGTAAATAATTGATATGCTGTTATAATTTATTGCCAAATGATGTTATGAGATTTTTATTCATAGGATAATTTGGGATGGATATTATAAGTAAAACCTATTCAGCAGTTGTTTGGGTACAGTGTAAAACTAACTTCCATATTGGTAAAACATTTTTAAGACTAGACTATCCAAAAACCAGGAGTAGCTTTCTTTTGAAACGATAAAACAGTGGAATTCACCAAGGACTCAGCAGAGGTCCAATTTTGTGTAGGTGTTAGATTTCATTACCGAGCACGAAAATCAAGTACTTACTAACCGCACGAGTCCAACGTGTAAGTGTGGGAGCTATGCTGCGGCACGAATGGATCGGCTCCATGTACCACGGCCTCACAGAAAACCGACGTGAAACAACCACAGCGTTGTGTCTCGCCCTTTGAGTGAGGTGACCGGGGACTCACATCTTTCGCCTCCACAAATCCCTAAATCCCTAAATCTCTAGGAGGTCCTCAAAGTAAAGGCACGCGTAGTTCCTCTTTTGTTGCGGGTGTCTATGGGCGGTGCCGATTGCTTACCATCAGGTGATCCGTATCCTCGTTTGTGGTCCTACCATTTAAAAAATATCCTTACCTCAAGACTTAATACAGAAAAACTGAGGATCTTAGTCCCCAAGAGCTCCGAAATAAACCCCGCTCCTCTTATCACTAAAACCACACCCTATAAGAGTGATTTATACAAAGTTTTAAAATCACCGACGCACTACGCCAGTCACGTACATCGCTTTGTTTATTTTTTTATTAACTCATAAACATTGTAAGGCTGACCACATTATGTAATATGGATGGATTTAGGCTGGAGCTAGATCGAAGTCTAGCCTAGACTTTAGCGAAAAATCCTGTCTTGTTTTAGAGTAAATATTTGCGGGCAAAACGTAGTGAGGTGTGAAGCGTGGCCCGGCTAGGAGAAGAAGGAACGGGGTGGGTTTTAGTCAGCAAGAATATTCATTCTAAAGATCATTCACACCTTATGATACTTTGAAGTTAAATCAACATTAAATTTAAATTAAGTTATTCAAACTCAAACCCTGTCATCAACAAATACCGTCATAATTCGTCAAGAGTCATAGCGCACTCTCTTTGGTCTCATATATAATGTAAAAAAGACTGTATTCATGGTCTTTAAATCGGGTCCCAAAAGTCCGCCGGTACAACCGCTAATCCTTAATGGTGAATTTTTAAACAGAGTGTACCAATTTAAATATCTTGGGCATTGGGTCACGGATGATTTAAAAGACGATGTTGACATGGAGAGGGAACGCAGAGCATTGTCAGTTCGGGCCAATATGTTGGCGCGCAGATTCTCCCGTTGTACAGACGCAGTCAAAATTACTTTATTTACAGCATATTGTACGTCACTGTACACGGGGGCTCTGTGGGTTAATTACACCCAAAGAGCTTACAATGCTCTGCGGGTCCAATTTAACAATGCCTTCAGGGCGCTGTTGCGGCTCCCACGATTCTGTAGCGCATCAGCAATGTTTGCTGATGCACACACGGATGGCTTCATAGCAATCTGGCGCAAAAAGACCGCATCTTTCATCAGTCGGCTGCGTGGAAGTCGTCACAGCATCTTGAGTGCTATAGCTAACCGACACGATTGTCCTCTTTTGTGGAAACTTGTGCAGAGGACAAAGTCCCTGCTAACCATTCAATATTAGTTATTTCAGTGTTCCTATTTTTTGTAATGTATGGATCTTGAGTTATCTGAATAAATAAATTTTATTATTATTATTATTATTATTATTATTTGAGTATTATCATAAATTTCTGCGCGGTTTTGAGAAGTACTTATTATAATAATTTGTACAGTTGTTTGTGTTTCACGCAAATTTAGCGTATCGTGTATGAATTAGCATAAATGTGGCTTAGTTTTTCTAAGCGCCGAAATAAGGCTACCGTTGCGTAGCTTCGTTCCTTCACTGTACGGAATTCGGTTATTTATTATATTGTGTTGTCAGAATTCTGTTTAAAACTTTTCTTAACTGTACTTTACGGTTGTTTTACAGTGTGATGTGTGATGACTTAGACTTACCTGTCTTTAAGAACGTTCCGGGTTGTAATTTAGCCATTTATAACCTATGCCAATTTAAATTCAAATATTTTATCAAATGACTAGGCACTTAATGCGTAACCTGGTTAAAAAATTTGGTAACAGTAAAACGGGGTTAATAGAAATCGAGTGGTAAACAGATTTAGAAGAGGGGTGAATAGATACTAAAAAAATCGCTTACATCGATTTATCCCCTTTGTGTATCTATTCACACCGTTTAACGGTAATTATAGAAAACATACCAATATAAAATCTTATTTTCTTTGAATTTCAACAGTGACAAAAGTGGACTAATCACACCGCCTCAAAATGGCGGCGAAGAGTCCCCCCCACCAGAGAAGGAGCGAGCAGACCGCGAGGACTCCGAGAAGAGTCACTCAACCCCAGTGCCGCACTCCGCTGAGGGCCCAAATGATGACTTGTACGCAATACCGGTCAAATTGAGACCCAAAAAGGAACCCCAGCTGCCGCCAGGATGGGAGAAACATGAAGGTACTCGTAGGACATGTATGTTCACCTGCAGATTCTAGAAATAGTTTTAGTATCGAAATTAGGTCAGTAGGTAGGTAACGTAGATCTGTTTTATGGAATTCCGTTTGCTACTGAGCTATAAACTTAAGGATTTTACTGTCAGCATGTTGTGAGACAGTAAAGGAAAGAAATCCGTATATATAATACGATATCGAACCACATGTGTGTAGTTAGTTTTAACATGTCATTCAGCTTTAAAAAAAAATGCGCAAAAGAGTTTGAAGTCAAGTATAAACTAATCCGCATGTTCATCTACTTGCATTTAAGGCGGATTGTAGATTTGCGACTCATTTTTCATCGTAATGTTTTTGCTTAAAATAACTTCTGGACTAGACAAAAGCTATCTCAAACATTCTAAAAACTTTAACCATCATTTCTTTCTATCAGATAACGATGGCCCTTACTACTGGCACATAAAAAGCGGGACCATCCAGAGGGAGATCCCAAAGATGCCCCCCGTAGAAGCCAAGGAGTCTCGTATTTCCATGGTCAGGGACTGTTCCAATCTGTCCGAAGTCAGCAAGTATGAGGGCAGTATGATGACCAGCTCTGTGACTAGGAGTACCACCAGTGGAGCCCTGGACCACGATGGACAGGAAGCAGAGAGAAAACGGAAAGAGGAGATGTCCTATAAGTAAGTTTCGATAGTAAAATATTTTGGCAGTTGAGATTTTACCTATGGACCTTAATCATCATCAATTTTAGATAAAGTCAATGTATTTTCTAGCATAGCACGCGAGATTTATGAGAATATTCATTGTTAAAAAATCCAATCCATTTCGAAGTCACTTAGGTACTTTTGAAAGGTCAAAAAAGAATGCTAGTCCGTCAATCTGTCCGTCAGTGTAGCTAAGTGCTCGTTCCAAAGTTTAGATTCGAAAGGTGAAAAACGAGCAAGAAACTCCATCGTGCTGAATATGCCACTCTGAATCAAGAATTTAATGCATGTCAATACGCCAACACCTGTTTTTAATAATACTTTTGTTTTTATTTTTTTCAGACGCCGCAGTTTTCCTGCTCGTCCAGAGCCAGACAATGGTCGTGCAGTCAGGTTTTTCGTCCGCTCTCTGGGTTGGGTCGAAATCGCAGAATCCGACCTGACTCCAGAAAGGTCCAGTCGTGCGGTGAACAAGTGCATCGTGGATCTCAGTTTAGGCCGCAACGATCTGCTGGACCAAGTTGGACGCTGGGGTGATGTGAGTAACTGTCAGACCGTTTTGGATTTTGTTTATAATATTTGCAAAGTTGACCAAGTGTTACTGGATTGTTGGACCAAAAAATGATAAGTTTTCTGTTCCTTGAAAAATTGATAGGTATAGGTACTTTTACCTAAGTATACATCTTACCTTCTTGCAGAACGATCACTAAGAAATTTTGTGTGGAAATATTGACTGTAAACAATTAAAATTAGACGTTTTCTGAAGGGGCATTTGGAAAAACCTCAATAATTTCACCAGATTTTTTTTTATTCTTTATTGAAGCCAGAAATCTTCAATATCGTCCTTACCATTTCGCATTACAGGGCAAAGATCTTTTCATGGATTTGGACGATGGAGCTCTAAAGCTGATCGACCCAGAGAGCCTGAACACATTGCACACACAGCCCATACACACCATCCGTGTTTGGGGCGTTGGCAGAGATAACGGCCGGTGAGTACAGACTCGGATCCCTTATAATACACGAACTCGCAACAAAAAACATACTAAAAGTAATCCGTTTTCTGTCTTTGCATTCTTGGAATAGTGAAAGGTAAATACAAAGAGTAACTACTTAGGTTTTTTCCTAGATTTTTTACTTAACTTTAGATATAATTTTAGGCGTGTTTGTGAATTTAGATTTCTTCTAAAATTTAGTCTGTTTCTACTTCTTTAACATAAGCGTGTTTGATTTAGTAGTTCTAAAGAAGAATTTAGCGTTCACAAATGCCTGAGTCGGGCCCTAGTTTTTATGAGTTACTAGTTTGTTTACTGTAAATACTTCAGCTTTTTATTTCACTTGCTAAATATTTGGGCTTTGGTACCTACACGCAACATTAATTAACTTTTTTAAGAATGTCATTACACATTTATTAATAAGAATTCGCTTAGTGGCAAGTTTCGAAAACAACTTACTTATCACCTGGATCACGTGTATTTTCTCTCAGAATTTTTGGACACTTTAGACATAAAAATGTTCAAATATCTTAACAACAGACGCAGTACACGTTTCTACGTCCATAGAAATCATCTGCACGCCTTCACCTTTCAGAACATTAGAAAGAGGCGTGTCTTAATCTCACGTTTCTGTATTCAGGGACTTTGCTTACGTGGCCCGCGATCGTGCGACCCGCAAACATATGTGCCACGTGTTCCGCTGCGAGGCGCCAGCGCGGAGCATCGCCAACGCACTGCGTGACATCTGCAAGAGGATCATGATCGAGCGCTCCTTGCAGCCCCCGCCGCGTCCCACTGACCTACCGGCCACCAGGCGACCTCGGCCGCTCTCTGGTAGGTTACTTCAGAACTTTGAAATAAGTTGTTAAGTGAGATGATAGATTCTGGTATATTCACCGTCTTTGCTTCAAAAGACCTTCGTAGACCTGCACAGCTTCCTTAATTCTGTTTGCAATTTTAAAAAGACGTCCGAGTATTTTATTTTAATTCAGGTGGAATTCTTTGATCTGTCTATGTTTATGTTTCCCGACAAACCTGAGTCTCTTTAAGGCCCGAGTGAATTACAAATAATAATATTTGGCTTTTATGTTTTTCTCAGAACAATAAATAAACAAGGTCCAATTGAAGTGTCCTACTTTCTATTCAACAAAGCAGTTATTGCTAGTTTAAGTATGGTTCTGCGCAGTGAATTGAAATGTGTGTGTGTTACAGTGGGTGCGGCGTTCCCTACGCCGATGGAGGAGCCCCGCAAGACGGTGCGCGCGCTGTACCTGGGCAGCGCGGAGGTGGCGCGCGCCACCGGCATGCGCGTGCTCAACGACGCGCTCGAGCGCCTCGCCGCCGCGCGCCCGCCCTCCGCCTGGCGCCCCGTCGCCGTCGCAGTCGCACCATCCATGATCACCATCACTGATGAAGGGGTTCGTGTTCCTTATCTTTCACCTTTTCTTGCTTGGGCTTTGATAAATTGATGTCTGTATTTACCTATTTGGTTTACCGTAGTGTTTAGCCAAGCTTCGGTATGAATGAGTCGGCCCGAATGATACCACGTACTCACAAAAACCGGTGTAAAACAACCACACTGTTGTGTGAGCGAGGTTACCGGATGGCCCTCCCCCTAATCCCTTCCCAATCCTTAATTATCCGAAACCCTTATGCCTAAAAGGCTGGCAACGCAATCGTAACTCCATCGATGATGCGGGTGTCCATGGGCAGCGCCGATTGCTTACCACATCCTATCACATAAAAAAAATCATTTATTTGATGATTCTTTCTTAGAATCAACTCCTCTTTTCTTATTAACTTCAAAAATTCATGTTCTTCAAAATACTTTCCAGGACACAACCCCGATAGTGGAGTGTCGAGTCCGCTACCTGTCGTTCCTGGGCATCGGGCGCGACGTGCGACGCTGTGCATTCATAGTCCACACAGCGCAGGACCTCTTCGTGGCGCACGCCTTCCACGCCGAGCCCTCCTCCGGAGCACTCTGCAAGACCATTGAGGCTGCTTGCAAGGTGAGGAACTTACCCACCATGAAGACAGTAAGACATTTCTCGCAAATAAACCATACTTTAGTTAGTTATTTTTTGGCCTGTTGTGTACATTATAATCTGCAGGACTTCACTCCCGAAAACACTGTACTTAGTAAAAACATTAAGTACTCTTCTTTCCCCTATAAAAAACGTTCCACTAACCACAGAAAGTTTTTCTGTGTGTAATATGTTGTGGGTGCGTTGATTCACCCGGAACAACAATATGTAGATTACACAGTGTGGAAATCGAATCCGCAACACCGATTGCCTAACCATTGCGTCACTGACAGTCATATTGATCTTTTATTAAAATCAAAATCATTTACTTGGATTAGATCCTTACAGGTTCTACTGGTACTTTTGAACTTCAATAAAGATAAAGTGTCAGTCTGTCGGTCAGTCCTCTTAGTGAAGCTATAAGTTCGTTCCAAAGTGTCGATTCCGATGGAGAAGAACGAGCAAGAAACTTGATGGTTAGGTACTCTTTTTTCATCAAAAAGAAACACATACCGAGGTTTATTAGAATAATAGGTCTAACAACAAATTTTACTTCTTTTACCCCTAAGTTATTTTGTTTATTCCAGCTGCGTTATCAGAAATGTTTGGACGCGCACGGCGGGTCCGCGTCGCTGGGAGCGGGGCCGTTGGGCGGCGGGTCCGCTGGGTCGGACTCCTCCCGAGGCTCAATTGGGGCCGCGCTCAAATCGCTCGTGGGCTCGCTCACTGGACGCAGGGGCTCCTGAACTACACTCAACTCGCCGCACTCCGATGGTAAGTTATAAACTAGTTCACTTAAAGTAAGGGTTGGGTTTTGGCAGTAACAATAAAAGTAGGGGGGTTTTAGTAGGCTCTTACACACTTATATGTCGTGTGCCGTAAGAGTGAGGTTACTGGAAGCCCAAACCTAACCCTCTCGCAACCTCCTCTCTCTAAAAGACTGCAAACGCACTTGCAAATCGTCTAGTTTTTGTACGTGTCTCCGGCGCTGATAGCTTACAGGTGTGTACACAGCTAGTTTACCTTCCAATACGATTAAAATAAACTCATATCTAAACTTTATAAACATTAGTCATATCTGCTTTATATGAATCTGGAATTAACGATTTTTTTATACCTTGTTCCCCAGACGAGCCACTACCGCCGGAGGAGTGCGGCCCGGCGGCCTGCGACGTGAGCGACAGTGCTGCCCCCGACACGCCATAGTGTCACCGCTTGCCGCCATTACGTCACGTCATACTCACCGCTACTGTATCGTTTTAACCGAGTAATATAACATGATGCGCCTTTACTCAACCAGGGAAATTTCTATCATCTGATATATATGCAAGGTCTAATAAAAAGACAGAGACAGAATAAGGGAAGAGGTTGTTAATACAGCCCGCGTTGACGTAAAAAAGAGCGCGAATCGCCATATTGCAGCCATATTTGAATCTTCTTCAACAACCAAACACGTTTACTTGTTAAAACGATACAAAATAATTATAAGCCGACTGAGATAATTGACTTAATAAAAAACTAGCCATCATAGTTTTGCTTAACTTAACATTGACGGAAAAAATACCAAAGTCCGTCAAATTATCAAGACGGTTTAGTCGATTTGACAATTAGGACCTGGTATTGTAATACATTTCATACAAACTCGACTGCATCAATAAACATATCTATTAGTTTTTTTACGCTAATAGGCTCCCATATTTAGTGGAAATATAAATATATAACTACATAAATAATTACGTGCAATATAGCAATAGACATGGGTAATTTTATGGATTAATTTAAGTAATAATCACCAAGGTGTTTTTAATATTCCTGTTATTTTATTAATTTTCAAATTAAATGTAACTGAACTTGTAAATATCGATGTTGAGTGTGTTTGAGACTTTACATTTCAAGCTATCTATCTTTAAAAGGTCTAGACTACCAAAACCGTGAAGTTACCAGTTAACTAAATAAAGTTTTAAAATTAATTTAATTAATGTTAGAGTAAATGTTAGTTGGTGTTTTAAAGTGACAGGTTATAATGTATCGCGACGTTAGGCAAGCTAGCTTCTTCCATTTCTAGACTTTTAAACGCCCTAAGTTCAACTATGTAAGATTTGTACTTAAACAGACTATTACTAAAACATTAATTAAATTAAAATACTCCCATTGTTATCCTAACCCTGCCTTGCTTGAACCCTGTTGAAATATGTGTTACCTCGACTTGTATAAAGCCTCTACTTGATGTTAGACGTTAAATTTTAATTAAAATTGATCTAATTAATGTTTAAAATGTAACGGAGATTTTTCTAAAAGTTTGTCCCACAAACTGCATAGAATAATGTTGCGTGACTTTTTAACATTAATTAAAGTTAGGATTAATGTTTTAGAATAGATACGCTGATGTCCAGATATCAAAAAATATTTAGGGCTGAAGTTTGTATTAAATAAATCGATGTGTTGTCAAATTCAAATTTCGAATTAGTCGTTCCAAATGCGCGCATTCCAAATTTGAGTTTGAAATTTTATTGTTAGGATTTACCAAATTCTTGGTCTCTTGAAGGTTACCCTATAAATTACTAGTCCATAGAAGTAGGTATGTTAAGCTTTTGTAAATTTAACGCTATTTATACATAAATTGAAACTGTGGCACAATATCTCGTCACAGAACACTATCGATGTTAACATAGATTTTGTGTAAAATTAATTGTAAGACTCATAAACTGTTAGTACGGGATGTCGGAAGTTCTTTGTAAATAATTGTAAACTTAATGGGAGTAAATATAAGGTAGGTAATGGATTGATAGTGGGGCAGTTCCCGGTCAGGACTGGCCCGGTAGGAGCACGCTATGGATATTCGATAGTCAATCGTATGCTGACTTAAATAGGTGTAATATTGCAGTGTGTATGGGAAGTATTGGTGTTGAGCACGGTATGTACCTAGAGAGTAAGGCATCAATGGTTTCCAAAAAACTTTGGTTCGTAGTATAATTGTAACGAATATAGGACCCTATGAGTATAAATAAAGAGTTTATTTTTGCTTAAGCTTTAAGATATTGAGGATTTCGATTGCTAAAGATAAATATTTTTTGTATGATCACCTCATAAGTATTTATAATATCTATTTATATATAAATCTAAGCTTTTTGGGCGTAAATTATCCCTTTAGTTCCGCATTGTGAGGGCTCAAATTTAAAGTCAAAGTCTAATAAATGTATGGAGACTTCATGTCAATATTGTTCAGAAACTAGACTTTAAATGTTGAGTGGTGGTAACAATTACCATCAAATAATTTAGAGATCCATTCAAATCGCTAACCTCATTGTTACAAGGGTGTTCGAAACACATTGAGCTTTCAATATTATATATTTATACGTAATATTCAAATCCGCTCGTATTTAAATTAGAATAAAACAAAATCCTTAATTCGGCCATTTTACGTGCATTAAATATAAAACAAAATGGCTGACGAGTTGCCATGTGCGGCTTACGTAGATTAGAACATTTTCATAAGGAGAGTTGTAACGAAAAAAGGGAATTGGGACCCATGAAATAAAAAAAAGATTTTCGAATTAAATTTGACTTTGCCGTAGTTGAAGTTGACCGATTGACTTTTAAGACTTCATAACCAGGAAAACATTCAACTATGGGAAGTGAAATGAGTTCCAAAGTAAATTGAAACGTATTATTACTTAATTAAAAGTGTTTTTGTGTCTGTAACACTTCGACAAATATAGGTAACTTAATAGAATATGAGGGAGAGAACGACCTTTGAATAGGTATGACGTCACTTTATAATTTATTATTCAATGACTAAAAGATGACACATTTAAAAGACCTTTAAATCGGATAGCTATTTAAATGTCGTTCTGTTTCACTAGAATAAGGCATTCGAGTTAGAATATCACAAAATAGCTTCAAAGTATATTTCAAATATTAGAGAATCAGTGTCGCTTCACACTTATATATAAATACTTAAATGATACACTGAGCTGTTCTGTAATACGTAAAGTTAGTATAGTGTTATTCACAGTCTAATACTAAGTGAAAGTCATTATTTATACAAAAATATATAAATATTTAAGAGCGGGGTTTTTATACAGGATCGTTTAGAGGTAGGTTGGTACCTATTTTCCTCTGGTTCCTGTATGAGGGCTCTGTTCTCGCGACACATGTGACAATGCAAGCTTCAACGGCCTTTTATGAGGTGAAGAATGTCAATATTTTCTATAAAGTAAACGTTTATGTAGTTTATTAGATAGCTTGTGAATTCCTGTTTTCTAGCTCACTGTTGAATATACGATCAGGAAGATGTTATATACAGTCATCGCTTTGACAGCTTAAAAGCCTTCAAACTGTGGCTTTTAATGAATACTTTTGTGAAATTAATAAAAAAATATTCGTACACATGTGTTTTGTTTGTTTAAACATTCGAGACTTGTATAATACTTAGATACCCCAAGTACCTACCCTACCTATATCCTTTTTGCGCAAATACTAAATACTTATTATATTATAGCTAATCTCGCGGTTTCACTCGCTGCTCGGCTCGTACAGATCGAAACGTACAGACGTTTTTAAGCCTGAAGCCTTCCTCGATAAATGGACTAACAACAAAAAAAGAATTATTAAATTCGAACCAGTAGTTCCGGAGATTACCGCGTTCAAACAAACAAACTCTTGTTTCAGAATATTAGTATAGATTTTACTGTTTTACTGACGGCGGGGCTGAGAAACCAGCTACCGTACATGTGCGGGTTCTCACTCACGACCCAAAAATCCTAGTGCTGTGCACTTAAACCTCTCTCGGACACTAACTTGGATAATAGATTTTCTTTGTTATTTTGTATTTTATACAAAGTATTGGGTTAAAACTCACAAGATTGTTAGCTTTTAGCTTGTATACCAGTTATCGATATCATTAAAATTTGTATGTAGCCACAAATAAAACTAAACAAAGAACTAGGTTCTGCAATAAGTTCCAATACGTTTGCGACAAAATTTAGGAACTAATGAGTTAGAAATAAAAGACTGTTAGTCTTTTGAGTGTGTGAGAGCTATGCTTCGGCAAAAATGGGCCAGCTCGACCGAAGTGATAAATTACCGACGTGAAGAGCAACACTTACTTTACAGGTGGTCCGATCTCCCCTATTCTCGAACCCTAATAACCTACAAGACATGTTTGCCGACCATTGCAATAAATAAAGAAAAAGGTAAACTAAAAATAAAAGAAAAACAAATTCATATTCATTATAAATATTTAATCATAATTGTTACATTGGGCATAATTTGGAATTTAGGATTTCAACTCACTCAAATCACAAAAAGTCATCTATCGTTTTATTTTAAACAAAATAAAACTATTTTTTATAATAATTCAGAGTTCGTGTAAAAATATGTTACTGCTCCACAATACACACTTGATTTAGAATATTTAGGTATACATATATATTTGATATTATGATTTTACCGCGAAAATAACAAATTCATAGAATTCAATCTTGATTTAAATTTGAGGTTATAGTTTTTGGCGGCAGTCGATTCTAGGCCATGGTATATCACTGGACTGCCAGCTCGGAACTTTTTAATTTTCTTGTCATGTTCGCATTTTAAAACTTGCATCAAATACCGTTTGCTGTGTTGCTCACACAAAAAATATCTATCCTGCTAAATTATTACAACAGGCAAACGTCATTTGAATACGTGGAGCAGTATTCGCTGTTGTTTTAAATCTTTATCGTAAAACTAATAGCTTTATTATACAAAATACGTGTGTTTCTATACAAACTTAGTGTATCAATAAAATTAAACATTTCATGTAATATTGTCCAGCACGTGGGCCCAGAGGCGGCCGTTTACTACAACTAATGAAACAGTATTAATAACTTCTTTTAAAGAAGGTATTAATATGAAATAATAATAAGAGACACATGTACACAAAGAAAAAAGTTTTTATACCACAGAACCTAACAAAACTACCAGGTAAATAAATCGGTTTGACTTAAAACATATTTTAGGAGAAAAGAAATCAAAACAGGCATTCTCTGGACCCGACAAAAGCTCAACAATGTCAAAAATCGACACATTTCCTCACAAGTGTATCGCTTAGGTCAATTATGTAAATATTTTGATAACTATCGACATTTTAGAGTATCGATATTAACAATTTATCGACATAATAACGTGCTTCAGACATTAAACGCGTATTTATCGAAGTTGATAGATCGTATTAATCGATTACTAGAAAAATATTATGTGCAGTTTAATTAACAGTGTTTCTATTAAGGAACTATTTATTTTACAATGATATTACCATCACAGCTAAAACTCCTAGGCGTAGGTATAAGACTCAGTATTAAATGACAGATGTTTAAAGGCATCAATCCTATTTACGATCAATGATAATTGGGCTTCTTATTGGAGAAAAATATTGTAAAAATTTACGATATCATCAGTAAATCTTTCGTTTGTGAAATACACAAGAATGAAACAACAGGCTGTTATATCTTTATATATATAAAAATTTCGTGTCACGTGTTTGTCCGCGTTGGACTACTAAACCGATTTTAAAGATTTGCATTCCGTGTGCATTCTGATCCAATTTGAAAGATAGGATAGCTTACATCTCAATTTATAGTCACAATATTATTTTATTGAAAATTATTTGTCCATGTGTAATATGACAAGAACCTTAGCCATAGCAACGCGTGACTGGGTCTGGTAGTCTCTTCACAAATACTAGAAAGATAAATAAATAGGATTGTTATGCCAATAATACTGTACACTGAGATGCTATTAATTTCCAGCTAGACTATGTCTATGTAACAATATGTAATCATTCGAAAAGCTATTAGAACTTGAAACAATTTCGTGGTAACTTATAAACATTAATGGAGGGTTTCTTGGCACTATTTCTACTACGGTGAAACGGTGTGAAAAGAATTCAAGGGATAAGTAAATAGATACTAGAAAAATTCGCCAACATCTGTTTAATTACCCCTTATGTGTATTTATTTACCCCGTTTTACGGTATTCAAAAATATTATATTTTTAATAAAGAAAATCAGATTAGGAAAACGTTCAGGAAGACTTTTACCAGTACTAATAAATGATTTAGGTATAATTATTAGATTTTTAAACCTACTCAATTGAGTTTCGATTGACAGTTGTGACGTTACAATATGGCGCTGATTTCGCCCTATTTGTAGTTAAAACAGTAGAGGTTAGTCACCCTACTTCTGTCTTATAAGTGATAACTTTGGTATTAATTTTCATTTATGTATAAAATACTGAAATTATTGCACTGGATGGAAAGACAGTTTTGTTTTAAGATTAAAAAAAGTAAGTAGTAGATGGATCTAATCAAATTGGTTTTAGTCATAACCTCTGAAAACATTTTTCAAAATATCGAACGGTACCCACCTACTATACATATATTTTGAAGGTCAAAAAAGTTAAACAGATAAGTAAAACGTTATTGTAGCATTCACTGAAACAGTCAAAAATAAAAAATATATTTAAGGACAACCTTGTATAATTCTTTCTTTTAGAAGAACAATACCAGGAAAGAATTGTCTGAATTAAAAAAAAAGGATTCTATTAGCATACACATAATTCACATAGTATTTAAAAATGTGTAAAAGTGGAGTCTATTTTGGGGTATAAATATATTTTTCTGACATACCTAGTTCGGTTTAGTAAAAACACGAGCTATCAACTTGTAGAGACGCGTCAATATTACAGATTCAGTATTCAGTAGTGGCTAGTTCGGTTGTGATATACATACTATCTTCATGTAACTGTTACAACATCCTTGTGATTTCTACTGCTCCGCTTTTCAGCCTGAAATGAGATGAAAAATAATTTTAATTGTGTAAGTTATGTGGGAGTCGAGCTTAGGCGAGGCTTAGCAAGCGACGAATGGGTTGAGTCGACCGGATTGATACCACGGCCACAGAGAAAACCGTCGTGAAACAACCACACCGTTGTTTCGCCGTGTGATTGAGGTTACCGGAGGCCCAATTCCTCCCCCTCCACCCATACCTTTCCAAATCCATAAATATCCGAGACCCTTATCCCTAAGAGACAGGCAAAGCAATAGTAACCCTTGTGTTGCGGGTGTCCATAGGCGGCGTTGAATGCTTACCATCAGGTAATAGGTCTGCTCGTTTGCCGACCTATACCATAAAAAATGTAACAAAGAAATTGTGGCAACTGATTGAAAAATATTAATCATGGAGTTTTTCTCCATAGGATATAATTCGAATTTGAAATAAAAAAAAAACAATTATTTATCTCATGGATCTATAATTCCTAGGACTAAACTCTATATAGAGAATTGTGTTTGAATTTAGAATAATGTCATAAGTGAAGATTAGAATTTTTTTACCAAAATTTTTAATCATATGAAGTACATGTAAATATCTGCAACACGATTTAGTTTCACTTCACATATATTGCAAATTATATAAAAGCTTGTAATAATAATTATGGTTAGTCAGAATGTGGTCAGATGGCTCGATTAAAGGCAAGACCTGTCTCCTAGATGGACGACGATCGAAGTCGAACGATCGTGGCAGTCATTTGGCCTAGTCTAGCAGTTGGTAAAATTTTTTAACAGTTATTTAATGGTGTAGGAGGCAAAAGAGCAGATTCTACACTTGATGGCAAACTATTGCTTAAATTGATTCATCTTCTCATTTACATATTCGTTTGGTTTGTATTTTTTAAGATCTCATAAAACACAGAGATCATCAATACTAATATTATAAAGAGTTAAAATTTGTAAGTTTGTATGTTTTGTAAGTTTGTATGTAGGGGGTAATCTCTGGAACCGCTGGTCGGATTGCCAAAATTCTTTTACTAATATATAGCTACAATGTTCCTGAGTGCTATAGGCTATAAAACATCCCGCTAGGATTAAATGGAGCCGAGCAGCGGGTGAAACCGCGTGAAAGATGCTAGTATTTGTTATGCTCACCTGTGATGCCATTACATCCATCCATTTTGTTCAAAGAAGTGCGTTCTGTACTGAAACAAAGGAATCTTCTATAGATATTGTTTACAATAATATTCAACTAAAATATTAAAAAGAACTATAATATACATAATGTTTAATATTTGAAATTCAAATGATTAAATACAAGTTTGAAGAACAAGCTATTATTATAGGTACTTTTTGGGATATATATACAAGATTACTATTACACAACTTTAATGACATTTAACTAAAAATATGAAAATGTTATAAATATTTGACACATTGAATGCCATGGGGAAGAAAATGTAGGCGATGCTAACGATGGAGCGTTTGCCATCGACAGTTACCAGTCCATTGTCAACGACTTGATTAATTTATTATCATATTTATAACATGGCAAGAATAGGGATCACATACCACATTATCATAACGTTAAAACTAAAATTTTAATACATATTTTTTGTTTCTACAAATAACTTGTCAAGGATACATTATATACACATATTTCGGATATAATAGGTAGTTTACATTATTAGCAAAAACTATTATAAAAGCAAAGACGGAGCGCCCAAAAGTGTAATAAAAAGGTACTGTGAATTCTGTCACTTCTATTTTTTGCGTAGTGCAACAAGATTAGGCCGAAGTGAATTTTCAAGTATGAGAGAAGGAAGGATGAAATATTGCCCGTTCCCGAGTAAAATTATGTGATTGGATTAGATTTGATAAAACAAGAAATAATGTTAAACATTTAGGTGACATCAGCCTTGAAATTGTGTGACAGGGTAAAGAATTCAATCGATTTTTATTGCAAACAAATCCATAATTCCCGATTATTTACATTAATACATAAATAAATATTAGTATTAAGCTTATGTAAGTTATTTACATGGTATATGAATTATATTTTTTAATGTCTTCTAAACTGCATTGAATTTGAAAAGTAGGTATTCACGATAACTCACACAGATAAAAGACAAACTCGATAAAGTAAGGTAGTTAATATAGTGAATTAATTAGAGTGCTAGCATTATTCTATATTACATAAAGCAGAAGGCATAAAGACGAGGCTGAAAGTTTGCAACGAGGTTACTATAAAACACCTAATTAAGTATTTTCAGATACAACCAAATGTAAAAGCTATTTTTTTGTATCATATTGATGATGATAGCTATAACTATTATGGGAATAGTCTATTTTGAATTTAACTACTCGTTACAACCTTATTAGAAGCTGTACAAGCACAATGATCGAACACAGAGTAACAAGCCAATGGAGTACTCAAATTACAATTTTAGTTTATTGAATTATACAGACTTTATTGCATGTTTTATTATTTTATGACCAATATTTTTCATTATATTCATCTAAGCGACTAATCTTTTATAGATACATATTTTCAAATACCCATTACTTTCCAAATTATTGAAATGTTTATTTTAATCAACTAAAAACAGTTTTTAAGCAATTTATTTAACTAACTACTTGAATTGGACACTATTTTACTCAAACTCTATGGTTTTAAATCGATATTAAAACTTTTTATCTACAAATACTCCTTAGCTTGTCTACTGAGTGACATCTCTATGCTGCACTTACAGCTTATCTCTGTCTCGGGCCTCGAAGACCGCGTTCCGCGGGAAGGCGGGCTGGCTGGAAGACCTCTCGTGTTTCGCTAGTTGAAATAAATGTTACTCTTACCCATTTGATTTGTACTAAGTTACCCCTTCCTAGCAGTGTCTAAAATAGTTGTTGTAATTATTCTGTCACAGTGTAATTTGTCAAATAACACGTTTGAAGGATATTACTTAGTATTATATTATTAGCTATATGCTTTATTAAGGTAACTAATGATTGAGTACTTGAATATTAGTCAAATTCAATATTTTTATCATCAAAATCAAATATTTTACGTAATTTATAAATGAAATTGAATGCTGTGACATCAAAAGGTTTTCTTTTATTTTAGCTTCAAATACGAGCATTTTTTATTTTTTCAAAATAATATATATTTTTGACAAAGTAAGATCAAATCTGTGACGTCAGTGAAAAAATGTTAATGTCAAATTCTTGGTAGATACAAAACACAGCTGCGTACATTCTACAATGTTATATGACAAATTAATCCAATCGCTTACACTGTGACTAAGAAATAAATAAAAATATGCTCTTAATAGTACCTTTAAAAGCATTAGGCAATATTAAAATCATAATAATAACAAGATAAACCCATTTTAAAACAATAGTAAGTATAATATTAAACCCAAATATAACTGAGAAAATAGATCTATATAGGCATGTCGATTCTGGATAAAAAACATTCTTATAACTATTCGAAATTAGAATAAAATTTAAAAATAATAATTACCGTTAGTTATCACCCCGCCATAAGAATTACTGTTGAACTTTGTCGGCTCTTGAGAATGCTGAAATGTGTAAGGAATCGAACATTACTTCCTTGTCTCGGATTCCATGATTCATGCAATTAAAAATTAAACTGTACTGCTTGGAATTTGGAGTTTCAAATTGTCTTTACTTCATAGTTATTCATGCATTAATTTTACATAGTCTTTTTTTAGGAATATGAGGCTTTTACATATCTAGTCTATAGCACAAAACATACCTACAATGTTATTGCCAACTCTTCAAAAACCACAGAATAACCTATGTTCAAGTTTTACGACACTATTAAACATTAAAAGCCCTATTTTATAAGCTGTGGCAGTGATTACGATAAGGTTAATTTTATGTAGCATATGCAGCATTTCTATTAGTTAAGAAGTAGAAAATGTACAAAAGAGGACACCCTAGTCTTGAAACCATCACCAAAGTTAGGTAATTAGTAGCACAGATTTGTTTAACACAAAAATTAGTAGTTGCTAGCTTGTTTTCAGAAAAATAGAATTAATATTAAATTTTTGGGAAGGGTCAAAAGAGTGTAATCATCAATTGAATAACAGTGATATTGTAGTGCAGCCATACATTAGACAATCTGGGAAGAAATGAAATCTTCCTGCCCTTTTAATAAAAACTATCAAGATTAAAGATCAATAATATTTGAGTAAAAGGTGCATACCTCCATTTCTCTGAGATTCCTCATGAGCGTATCAATATCATCATTGGTAGGTTCCTCACTCTCACTACTCTTATGCACTTCCTTATCTTTCTTATTACACTTCACACTATTCACTTTTTTGTTAGCGTCAAAGTTCACGCGGTCCTTGGAAGGCACTGTCTCATTTTTATCACGTTTATTTTCACTTTTATCAGTCCTATTGTCCTCCACGAGTTCTACGTCGCTGCTACTGTCGTCTACCGCTAGAGGTTCTTGTTCACTCAGCGGGTCCACGTCCGAGATGATGACGACGTCTTTCTTCCGCTTGACGTCGGGCGGCCGCTTGTCGGGCTTCGCGAATGTCGGCGAGTGGTGCACGGGGACTAGCGCCGGCCTCGGGATGTTGTTCTCATTCACTCGCATACTCTCAATCTGCTTTTGGGGTATTTCCTCTTTGTGTTTCGGACTTGGGTCCTTTTTACTCGGCTGGTAACTTGTATCTACATGCAATGGTGAATCTACTCTTTTCTCTTTAACCTGACTTTTTTCTGGCTTCTTAACTTTATCTTTTTTCACCATTTCGTTTAACGCCGCTGGCGATTTAACCCTAATTAAACCTGATTTATCTGCTGTCGATGCTTGGACATTATTATTAAGTTTTTTCTCAGGTTTAGGGGGATTACTGGGTACCGGTGTTATAGTAATGCTTCCTATATTGTTGGGGGGAATGTATAGTTCTTCTTTCTTTTCACTGTCTTTTTTATCTACGATGAGGTCCTTGCTAATAGAAATAGAATTCATAATGGATCCAAAGACCGAATTAGTCTTATAGGGAGCTTTGGTGTCTTCGGCAGTCACGGGAGCTTCAGTCTTATCCGGAGACTGTTTGGTTGTGGTAGTGGTGACGGTGAGCGAGCTGGGGAAGTGGATGGGCTCGGTGAAGGCGGCGGGGGCCGGCTCGGGCCGCGTCGCCGGGGCCGGCGCCTCCGTACGTTGACTCGGGACTGGCGGCTGCGAGTTTGACCCTAGCCGCGGCCGCTTGATGTCTGTGGCCTTTAGTTCTTTACTGAGACTGGAAAGAAGACAAATATGGTTATTTTTTTATGTCATAGGTCGGCAGACGAGCTGACGGATTACCTGGTGGTACGTAATCATTGGCACCCATGGACACTGATAATATCCAGGGGGTTATTACATGTGTGTTGCCAGACTTGCTGGCCTCTTGTGGGTGATTAGGGATTCGAGGGAAGGGGATTTGATAATGGAGAGGTAAGTAGGGGGGGGGGGGGGGGGGGAAGGATTGGGTATCCAGTAACATCACTCACACGACGAAATACAATGTGAATGTTGTTTCACACCAGTGAGGTCGTGGTATAATTTCGATCGAGTTGACCCGTTCGTGCCGAAGCATAGATCTCTCCCATTTAGGTATTATGTTTATAATTTGAACGCAATAGAAATAGTGAGTGTAGATGTCTTACTCGGCCTGTCGCAGTAGCGTGGGCATGCGCACGAAGCCCTGCGGGAAGAGCGGCAGCACGCGTGTGAGCAACACCCGCGGCGCGTGCGCGGCGGCGAGGCGGGCGGCGCGCGCCAGCAGGCCGCGGCTGCGCCCGCACCACGGGAAGCGCCGCTTCGGGAGCCGCTTCTCTACTGCGGGGACACCCTCCGCCGCCGACGCTATCTGGATCTTCTTCCTGGAAGTACATTCCTACACTCACATACTGCTCTTTATACTACTGTTAACTCTACATCACCCAAAGGTTCGACTGGGAGATAATGCCTATGACATAACAACAACTTCCACTTTGCACACAAATGTCCATGCAAAAGTTTAAATAAATAAACATCGTCAACGATTATTTACATCGTTCCAAAATATACTAAAAGAAAATAAGACAAAAAATAGAAAATCTAAATTATATCGAATTCTAAACTTTACACAGGCACAATTTTTAATTGAAAGCTGATTCAATTCTTCAAAATAAAAATAGTTCGTGCCTAAAAGTGTTTCTATAATAAAAGCAACAATATAATTGATCTTACCTTTCTTCTTGTACTCTTTCACATTCTGCATTGTAGTTAGCTATCATTGCTGGCTTCTTTTCATCAATGAGTACTTTTAACCTGAAACCAACCATTCAAACTCTCAGAAAACCAATTAACAAAGCTCATACGGTGTATACAACTATAAGAACTTTTCTTAGTTATTTCACGTAAGTCATTATCTATATAAATATAAAAACTAATGCCACTTTTCATTCCAATGTTATAACTCAACAATGCCCTTACCAATTTGACTAATTTTTTGTCTTGAATTATTTATGGAAGTCCAAGGAATGTTTCAAAAGTCATAAATGTTAATTTTGAGGCACAAAGTTTGCCAGGTCAACTAGTTTTCAATCGATTATAATATATATAAGTTCATTATATTACTATGCTAACCTGAATAAAGTTTCAACGAGTAAAGCCTCTCTCTCCTCATCAGTCAAGTTATCTGGATCGAAGTCAACAAGATCATCATCAGCTTTCCTCTTGTTGTTGTGGTTCGTTACTGTTGATGACGATGGTGGCGGGGCAGTCGAGTTGGCAGTGTTTGTTGCTGGGGTTACTTGAGCAGTAGTTGAGTCTGTAATTTTTTTAATTAATAATGTTGTTGGTTATATTTATATCTACACTAATATTATAAAGAGGTATAATTTGTAAGTTTGTATGTAGGGGGTAATCTTTGGAACCGCTGGTCGGATTGCCAAAATTCTTTCACTGATAGATAGCTACTACGTTCCTGAGTGCTATAGGCTATAAAACATCACGCTACGATCAAATGGAGCTGGTGAAACCGCGCGAGAGTAGCTAGTGGTTTACATTTGGGAAATTCCTATCCCATTGCTATGGCATTTGGGAATGACCTATCCTGACTGACGTAAAGTTAACTATGACATTACAAAAATGCCTGCTTAAGCCGTGGTATCGAATATATAACATGGAACGCAGATCCACGCGAGATACTATGTATTTTCTATTGTTTGTCATATACCGGCAGACAAGATGTTAAGGATTAATGTAAATAAAATCTTTGAAAGACGTCCAGCCGTTTTGGCGAGATTGAGTTACTAACATCCAAACATCGTAACTTTCACCTTAATAATATTGAAATGCTTGGGCCACACTAACGGTAAATGCCATTAAATATCGCGATAATGATCGTTAATAGTAGGTGTACTTTGATCACTAAACAAATGGTTTAAGGTATATTTTTTCATTGCTTAATATCATAAATAAATTATCGATATAATTATTGGCATTAGGCCCCAGCACAAGAAGTAAGCTAAGCTACGTACTATGGAGGTCGGGCGCGGGTCGGCCCCGGACCCGCTGCAGCAGCTTGGCGCGCGTGGTGGCGAGTGCCCGCGCGGCGCGCGCCCAGCCGGCGCGGACGGCGCGCGCCTCCACGCGCGCGCCCTGCAGGACCTGCTCCACTCTGCACAAACACACGGGTCACAGGTACACGTTCATACACATTGTACAAGGCCAACGTTATGGTACTCAACGAGCGCCGATGTGTAGTAATTTTCTACTGGCAAACCATAGGACAGATAATTTTATGTCTATTTAATTGTCGAATATCGCGCCCTATATGTTAAAACAAAAAGTTAAAACGTCCACATACTCCTCTCCCCATTAAGAAAAAAACCAGTACGACCACTTTTGAAAAGCAAGTATGTTTATAATAAAAAAAACTAAAAATTCCCGAAGAATAAATTCTTGTCACATAATAAATATTTTTAAAATAAAAGTAAAATAAACGTTTCCCTTCCAAATTCAATAGTAAGATTTCCAAAAGGAGCAGATTATTATATGTGTATAGGGTAGCTGGTCACTAGTGACCGATTTAAATATCGGCCGTCGTCTGAACATTGAACAGTAACTTTCCTATAGTAATAAAAACAAAACAAATGAGTACAGAAAAAAAATTTTTTTTTCAGGCAAATACTTATCATGACTACCATCATATGATTAAATATCGATCTCTAATTACCAGTCACCCAATATTATTTCGCTTTTTATACATGCTAGTAACTAGTCACCATATATTACAACTGTTTGACATGAGTTTAAAATACTGCTTACCTAACAATGTACTCGTCAGCCTGCGCGAGTAGTTGCTTGCGCGGCGTGTTTGGGTTCTGCGCGAGCTGGCGCGACACGAACGACTCCAGCGACTCTAGCACCGTCACTGCCGCCGGGGGCAACTTTACCTCCACCTTCGTCTCCGTATCTCTGTGGTTACGAGGCAAATTGGTTACTATTTATTCTACAATAAGAGTTACAATTGATAAATAATGGATTCCGGTTTCCTAAAATTCAGCCTTATGCAGTAAACATTTTAAGTCCGAGTTTCACTCATTCTGAGCAATAACGCCAATGGCTAATTATTTCTTAATGTAGGTAATGAAGGAATGACAGAGAAATTATGAACCTAGCATGGGTGACCTTGGGCCTAAATTTAGTCGGATATAGACTAGTGTAGGGGCGACAATAATTTATGGATTACGAATTATTATTTTATTAAAACATTTATTTCAAACTCATTATTTTTGGTAACATTGAATTTAAAAATTCAAAACCCAATAAAAGGCGAATAATGGGTTATCTCTCAAGGAATTAAGCACTAATGTATGCCATTATAAATTGAAAACATTCGTGACAAATGTTACAAAAGTCAAATTGTCATGTGCATAGTATATGCAACTGTGATTAGTGACACTCAGGTGTCAACAAAATACTTTATTTACTTATACGCCAACTTACATTTAAGGCTTACACCACACAGCACCTCAGTAGCATATGAATATGGGCCTCTACCATGGCTTGAAACTAGTCGAGTATCTCGTCAAATTATTAAAGTAAACCGAAAAGATAATAATGTACGTGAAAATAAAGTTTTATTATTATTGAAAATAACTTATCGTACCTTGAGCTGTCTGAAGTAGCAGCATTCTCGGAGCTGGGCGTAGGTTTGGACGTGAGCGAGTCTGACTGTGACGTATGCGAGTCTGCGCTCTCAGCGTCGCCGTGAGCATTATCTGAAAAATACTTAGTATTAGAAACATGTAATTCTGCTGTACGTATGAATGACATTGAAGTCCTCCTATAAAACGGCTAGACCGATTTAAATGAATTTTTCTGTATGCGTTCGAGTGGCGCCTTAGATGGTTTAGACTCACAAATCAGCCCGGCAGATAGCGCTGATAGATTGAAAAGCATGTGATCTCGGAAACGGCCCTAATGATTTCGCTGAAATTGTATGTTTGTTAATGCACCCACCACACACGAGAAAATCGTAATTTGGGGGCCCTCCCCGAAAACCCCTCGTATCATGAGGGGTTCCTAATGATACGAGGGATTTTCGGGGTACAACACCCAGTCCCGAAACAACAATTGGTGGATCACACAAAGGGCAATCGCAATTGTTCATCGAACCCAGTAGTTAGTTCGTTAGTAAGTTTAAGACTTCCTCTTGCCAAACCCTGGACGAGAGAAGTCATTTGTCGATTTTCCTTTATCAAATAAAAGCCCAATTTTGACGGGATTTAGTGTCGCGACCATAGCCAGATATGGACAATGCTACTTGAAGAATATCTATGAGAATACCTACATACATATACCTGTATTGTTGAACACATACCATCTGAAGTCTGCTTGCCAGACGTAGCGGCCGATGAGTCAGTGCGCCGTACCTTCTTGGCTGTCTTCTTATCAATTTTTTTGTTTTTCTGTCAACGGAATGCATCAAATTAAGTACATTGTATTATCAAATCTTATCTTGGTTATTAATTATTGTATCTTGTAAGTAATATAATTTGGTAAAAAATATATAAAACATTTGCTAAAACTTTTGCTTAACCTTGTATGGAATGTGAGATATCAACCAGTTAGGTATGTTATAGTTACACCATCCGATAACTTTATTAATTAAAGGATGCTAAAGTTTGTAAAAAATAATTTCTGCTTTTATCTTTATGCCTTCTAATGTCACTTCTTCAAGAAATAAGTTCAAAATCATAAATAATACAAAAAAGCGTGGTGCAATCAATTTGTAATCAGATTGATAAGGTCTAAAAAGGTGCATTTTTCGTTTGAAAGTACCTAAAAATTCTATATTTTAGAATGGTACTATGTAGGAAAGCATCCTTTACACGCCAATGTGATTAACGAACAATATTTTCTTGTCGAGTTTGTTGCTTTCAATTTACAGTTTCACAGTTTAGAATCAATATTTTTTTAAAGCAGTTTTTTGTCTTACCTTCTTCCGGTGTTCAGTCTTGTGCGAGTCCACATCGCCGTTAGCTATCGCCTTAGGATCCTTTTCATCCTCACTGGATCCTGAAGAACTCCTGTCAGACGAATCTTCCTCACTACTGCTTGATGATATACGCCTCTGTGGAAACATTAACATTTTTACAAATATTTATCTACTTATTGACTTCCAACTAAAGACTCTAAAGCACAATGTTTAGACTGATGTATTTATAGAAACATATATTAGGTCTTTACCTATGAAAGTGCCGTTCTGCAGTACTGGCCATTTCAAATCAAAATAGTTTTTGTTAGGCTAAGGCTAATTGATTTTGTTTTAGGGTGATTCTTCACAACAATTAAAAAAAAATTAATAATGTCATTATCCCTGCTGATTAAAACACAGATAATTATTTTATTAAATTAAATCTCACCACTGCTTACAAGCAACCGATTAAAAATATTGTATAAAATAAATTACTAAGATGCTTAAAAACCTGGGAGGATAATGACTCGTTAAATAAAAGTTAAGGTTTTTTGGAGAATCACCCTTTAAAATCATGGGATTCTTTTTCCAAAAGTAGTCATTTGTTTATTGATTAGTGTTACATTTTCATCGCATTTCAAATCAAAAAATTCGTTTAAATTTTTTCATGCAAAACAGCAATTTCATAGGTAAAGACCTATTATTATTATAATTAGCTCTTGAATGTCTGTCAACAGATTTAAAATATGTTTTGGATTAAGATTGGTTTTGACAGTACAATTGTTCTCTAAGCTCGTTTCAAAAGAAAGATTCAATAATTATTGTAAGCTAGACTTGGAAGATACAATCTATTTCGAATACTATATGTTTTTACTTTACTAACCTTATTCCTTCGACTGCCTCCAGGCTCGGCATCAGATATCGCAGCCTGGTCAGCCACACTCTTGAACTCCAGCGAGCCGCAGTTGATGTAAAATCCACCGTGCAGTGTGTCGCACTCTGGCGGGATCATCTCGTCGTACTGAAATTATTATATGCGATATTTATATATCATTATGTTTATTTTGTGGATATACTAATTTTGGTTGGTCGTTGGTCGACAAACGAGCGGACGGATTACCTGATGGTAAGCAGTCAATACTGCCCATGGACAACAATAGAGGACTTACGAGTGCTTTGCCGGTTTTGGGGATAAGGTATTTAGAGATATCGGGATTGGGAGAGGGAAAGGATTGGGCCTATGCCGACTATTGGGGGATTATTCCATTTTGCCTCATTGTTTAGTGCGGTCGGAGCCATGACTGGGGAGTAACGGGTCAAGTGTCTGGAACCAGGAGCCCAGTTCCTTAGTTCTTGCAGGTACAGGCGATCGACTGCCCTTGACCACCACAGACGGGGCCCTATAGGGCTGATGTTCTGCCGGGATTGCGGGGTAAGCGCAATGAGGCACCGGGACCTCGGCCCAGAACAGGAGAAGGAACCGGGGTTTTTTAGTCAGCAAGAGTGTCACTCCCTCCCGCCCGGCCCTGGACGGAAGAAGTCATTTGATGATTTTCCCCTCACAAAAAAAGGCGATCAACTGCCCTGTTGGCGCCATGGCTAGGCAACAGGTCTGATATCGCACGGAACAACTTTTTCCAGTAATTGTTGTTCTTGATCTGGGTTTTATGTATGTTCTTTATAAACGTGCACCCACGACAAAGGGAAAATGTTAGTTTATGCCAATATTTTGATATCATAACTTAACGATTAAAAAAAATATGCGCCATGTGCGGCATAAATGTATCATGTAAGTATTAATATGGAAGTGGTATAAAACAGGTCCTTGGTATAATATGTACTTTTGCTTTCCTTTAACAGATTGAAGGCAGCTCATAGCTATTTATATATCTAAAAGACCATTTTGATTTCTATTTTCGAACGGTGTCAGTTTGACCGAATGCTAAAACGGGTACTAAAACATTCGATTGTACCCATACCAAGATACGACAGTCCCTATTTTAAAATACAGTGACCTAGTTAGTTTGACTTGCCCAGAATTGACGTTGCGGTACCGTAAACCTTTTATTTATATGAACGTTTGTATAATGTGTGAGAGCCATGCTTCGGCGCGAATGGGTCGGCTCGACCGGAGTGATACCACGGCCTCACAGAAAACCGGCGTGAAACAACCATAGCATTGTGTTTAGCCGTGCGAGTGAGGTCTTCTCTTTCCCTTCCCAATCCCTAAATATCCCAAAAGGCCGGCAACGCGCTCGTAACTCCTTTGGTGGCGGCGATTGATTACCACCAGGTAATCCACCTGCTCATTTGCTGACCGGATAGGTCGATAAAAACAAAATTGGACTGAACAGTTGACGTGGTGACTGGGCAACCTGACTGCCTTGCAAGGTGCCGCGTTTTCGATTCCCGCACGGAACAACTCTGTGTGATCCACAAATTGTTGTTAGGTACAGGTTAAGGTGTCATGTGCATGTAAATTAGTACTCATGTAACATATAAGGGAATATCTTAGTGTTTTAAAAAAGTGTAAACCCAAGTGAACGCCGGCGCTCGCGTACCTAATGTTCTTCTAATGTCTTGCATTGCCACGATTGAAAGTTTAAAATGAAATTATTATAGTAGAAACATTACATATGTGTTGATAGATAGATACCTACATCAGAAGATTTCAATAACCTATTACAATTTTTTTTCTTAGAGCTGCCACACTTATATCCTCTGATCAAATTCCACCTTTCTGGCAATCACAGTTAGGATATACATATAGCCGACTGATAGACGGATGGACGACAGTCATAGTAATATGGTTCTTTTTTGAACCCTTACTATAAAAAACAACATCTCCGTACAATACACTAATTAAGTTACAAGACTAGTAAAAACCAAATTTATTTCTCACCCCATGTGTGTTGTCGATAAAGGAATCATTCTCATCGTAGCCAGCTCCAATGTCCGCGAAATCATCATGCTTCGATCTGCCCTTACGGCCATATGTACTTTTACCGCCCTGCAACATACATAACAAATATATAATTTTAAACCAATTAATTTATACGAACTAATTGAGTAGTATTAAGTTTAACTTTTTGGATTATGGAATCCGGTGTGGTTTGAAACTAATCGAGTAACTTCGTCGAAAAGGTATTTTTATTTACTAGTTACTACCGAAATTAGGCGGTTGAAACCACCCTGCATTTTTCCATCACTAGCTGCGATAGCATATTACAGTGACTGATAAAAAAAATATTAATTTTAGAAAAAATATATTCCTAGCTAATGTGATTTTTATAAGACACAACAAAATGAAATTGATTTTTACACCAAAAGAATCCCTGACACTTACTGTTATGAAGTACATGCTGAAATAATTAGGTTTTCAGTTGAACCTGGTCTTGATATTTTTGAGATAAAAGATAAAATAACTTACATATTTCTGTTCAAACTGCCTGGCGACGCGGACCACATCATCATTGCTCTCGGAGAACGGATCCAAACCGGCTGTCTTGCCATTTTCTCTATCGACTTTCTTCTTTCTCTGAAATTATAAATTGGAGGAACATTAGAATATATGACCATCAAGGCTTTAAGTCCCAAATACCACACCATAATCTCCATCATTAATCCACTTAGGATTTAGAGAGCTTAGGATTTTTTTTTGTATTTTATCCTAATTAGTTTTTTAAGTACCTTGATAATAGTATTTATATAAAATTAACAATATAACTTAATGGCGTAAGCTGTATTGTAGCATATCTAAATTTTCTTAATAAATAAATAAATGATGAGGTTTTGCTTTTTCCTCTCCATTCTAATCTACATTTTCGAATGAGCACCTAGCTCGAATATGAACAGACCGACAGACTATTATTCCATTTTGACTTTGACGTAGATGTACTTAATATAGGACGTAGCTAACTGAAACTTGTTTAATACAGTCCCCAACTTTAAATTATACATATATACTAGGACAGCTTGCCGTGTAATTGAGCACCTATGCAGAACATTTCAAGACTGATGCGTTTTGAACCTGCGACCTCGAACATACCATTCTCCTAGGCTGTAATATGCAGACAACAGAAATCGTTGCAGTTACGTCAAAAGTTGAAGGTCGGTCAAGACTAGCTCCATGTTTCTATGAACATAGACTACCAAAGATTCTTGCAATTTAACAAATAAAAAGAGATCGCGATACGGTAGGTACCAACCTAGTGAAATTTTATATTCACTAGTAATGTTAACTTACAATAGTATCAAAAAGGCTATTATAAGAGAAAACAAAAAACAAAAGGATATAAATAAGAGGTATGCTTATATTGCAGTAAACACTACATAGAATAAAACAAAGTCCCTTTCTCTGGCCCTATATTTCTATGTATTGATGATGAATGATTAAATATTTAATGCTTTGATGGATTACTGTGCAGCTTTTTTAATATATAAATTGATTAAAGAAAGAGGTTTATATTTATAACATCCATTAAATAGTGGATTACAGAATAAGGTAAATATTTATGTTATTTACAGGCTAAAAATCTGTAATTTACGCAGATAAGAATGTACAATTCATAACATAATAAAAACAAATAAAAGAAACCTTTTTTATTTAATTACAATAGTGACTATTTAAAGAACAGATTTCTAGGATTCATCTAGGTCCTAGGTACATACAATTAGTAGGTCAAGAATATACAAACAATTACTATTTGTATAATGAAGACTATGAACTAGGTACATAGAAAACTATGTATGTATAACTCATTTTCATAAATGTTACAGATCACATAACAACCAGTCTGCAAGACGGTATTTAATCTAATCAGAGATGTGATTTATTTGAAATACTTCTATTTTAAATGCAAATAGAAAATGCAAAATACCTATTTTTACCCGACTGCCAAAGAAGGAGGGTAATGTTTTTCGAGTGTATGTAAGTATGTATGTATGTCTTTTCCTTTGTGACCTCCTGTAGCCTAAACGGCTTGATGGATTTTGATGTATGAGGTATCGTTAGATTTGTCTTGATTACGGGAGTGTCATAGGATACATTTTATCCTAAAAGTCCCACGGGATAAAGACATAATAATATTTTTTCTAAATTTCCCTTTAAAAAAATATGTATGCGGTATCATTAGATTCATTTCAATCACGGGAGTAATTAATATAGGATACGTTTTTTCTAAAAAGTTATAAATAAAAAAATTATTATTAAAAAAACAAAATACCCGACTGCACACTAAAAAAAAAGTAAAACAAGCCCCACAATACAAATTTACTGAATATAATTTATAAATGTTGATGGAAAGCATCGCAGGCGGGGACCACCTTGACCGCCACCAACGAAAATTCTGCTAAATGGTGCACAAGCACAGAAATGACTATAAATAAGCCTCTGTTGGTCCCCGCCTGCGATGCTTTCCATCAACATTTATAAATTATATTCAGTAAATTTGTATTGTGGGGCTTGTTTTACTTTTTTTTTAGTGTGCAGTCGGGTATTTTGTTTTTTTAATAATAATTTTTTTATGTATTTTGTATTTAAATACCTTTCAGTGAAAAGTATTTTGTATTTTATTTGAAATGCCTTTCGAGATGCATTTTGTATTTTTAATATTCATTTCAAAATGCAAAATACTTTGTGATTAAGTTTAGCCAACATTACCAGTCAAACAAAACAAAACGCTTGTATTGCCGAATTCGACCGATAAAGGCGCCTGCTAACCATGCGCGACATCTGTTTCTTCTTTGGTCAGAGTGCGCGCCTTATGTCAAGTAATGTCTGACAAGTGTCAATTTCCAACGAAAACGAATTCATATTACAATTGTATAACAGATATATTACAAATTCAAGAAACCATAAATGAAGCTCTAAGAAAATTGGGATTATCAGTACTAAAAGAAATTGAAATACAGTTCTTGGTTGAATATGTTAAAACTTCCAAACCCATAGCTGAGGCCATCAGGAGCTTGGAAGGTGACAAAGAGATATATTATGGATGTCTACAACCTGAATTGATAAGAATGCAAAAAATATTAGCTTCACTATAAATGGACAACCCAGTTTATTGTGGACCGTTAATTGAAATAATAAAGGAAAATATTCAAAGGCGTTTCGAAAAATTTGATTTAGATAACCCAAGATCCAAGGACAGCATTCTGGCAGCAGTATCGTATCCATTTTTCAAATTAAAGTGGGTGCCTAAAAATAAGAAGGAGTATGTTAAGGAGCTGTTTATCACAGAAGTCAGGAAATTTAAAAATGAAAATTCAAAAAGTTGCCTCCCATCACAGACATCGGAAAGAAAAAGAAGAAATAGCGAGTCTTATTACATGTTCCAGGATTCAGACTCCTCTGCAACCAGTGAGGGTGGTAGTGCTAATAATACTACAATAGATCTGGAAACCCTGCAATATTTAAAGGATGAGAGCACAAGTCTGGAGATGCTAAATGCTTATCCTACAATAAAAAAAGTATTTTTTAAATACAACACATCCTTACCAAGTTCAGCACCAGTAGAAAGACTTTTTTCGTATGGTGGAATGATTATGAGACCTCACAGAAGAAAAATGAATGATGATGTATTCGAACAACTGGTATTGTTAAAAAGCGTAATCAATAAAAAATGATATTTATTTTTATCACTTTTTAACAATACCAGTCCAGTTCCAGTTGTTATTAATTTTAATAAGAAAAGTGTAATCATATGTAATGTGTTATTAGACGTTTGTTTTTCGGCTCGGCATTGTGTGTCTCTATTGCTCATGTATGATAAATAAATATGTACCTATAATAAATAAAAATATCTGTAATTTGGTCAGAGGGTATTTTATTTTGAAAAAGTATTTTGAAAATACCTATTTTGCATTTAGCATTTGAAATACAAAACGCAAAACTATTTGGTATTTTGCATTTGAAATAGTAAATCTGAAAAGTATTTTGCATTTTGTATTTAAATGCTTTTTTAAAACCATTTTGTACATCTCTGAATCTAATGTATAAACACAGAATTTCCTGTTTTTTTAAGTAATATATTTATATTTAACAAATTTTTTTAGTGATAACTGCAGTCTGGTATTCTGTTAGAATTACCATCACATCTAATATATAAAAATGAAATGATTTTCGTTAATCTTACTAAATCTCAAGAACTACTGGTCTGATTCCGCTAACTTTGGTCTTAAAATATTCATGAAAGTCCAGGGAAGGTTCAAAAGGTCAGGAAACATTAGTTAATTTTGAAAAGGGGCATAATTTTCGGGACAGCTAGTTACAGTATAGATTTAGAGATATCCTACAAATATATTTTGCCATTTCAACCACATACTGAAGCATAGGTCAGTTTTAACAATGTTATGCCATGAGGGTTACCCATGACCAACAGTAGTTTAGTAGGAGTTGCTTTCAACAGTTTAAAGCTTAATTATTATTTCTCAAGTTTTAATATATTTCAAATTTAACTAATTGAAAGCCTTACAATAATTACATTTTCATCCTTTGTATTTGAAAAAGAGTACTGAGCCTGGTTGAGCTCAAGGTATTATTTTTATTCCATGTAAATCAAACTAAAAAATGATAAATTACTTTTTGGTACCAAACTTTAGCAATGGCAACATAAATGTTAGCAAATTCGAACATTTTTTTTTGCATTATAGAAAACCATTGATAGTTAAATAGTAAAGTATATGCTGGAAAGATGAGATAGAGATATCTATACTATACTAATATTATAAAGCTGAAGAGTTTGTTTGTCTGAACGCACTAAGCTCCGGAACTGCTGGTGATAGAGGCTATAAAACATCACTCTACGATCTGTAGGGCTTAGCAGCGGGTGAAACCGCACGGAAGTAACTGGTATCACATAATTAAAGTTGTATTTCTCTTTGTCCACAGCAGTAACCCCCATCCATATGACGCAGGCCGCCACAAGTTGTTGACTGTTGAACTTATAGACACACAAACATGTCGTCCAAAGCCATATACGAAGCGACCGGCAAGGATCTTATTAACAGGTATAAATATCACAATTTACACCACTATTAGGTAATAGTACCATTCCAATCCTTCCCCTCCCCCAATCCCAAAATTTCCTTTGAGTAATTTGTTTTTGTATATTGTGCCTCTTGTATATTTAGTTATTTACAAAATTAAGCATATCAAATTCCTACATGTCCCGAAACGAAAAGTGTCATGTCATAACTTCAAACCAATAGGCATGTACTGTTGAGCAGGCAGCCATTAGTAAGCTATGATTGGTTAAAATTTGCATAAGATTATGTCTCAGTCTATTTACAAGACTTGCATGTTAAAGATTATTTTTATCTTGATATTTGATTTCATCCATTTGGATATTTTTTAAAACAAAGTTAATGTTTAGTGTGCAGATAAAAATGATTGTTTTGGTAGAATCTTGAGGCCAATGTGTGGCTCCCAATATTGGTAAAGATATTCCTACCACAGGCCCAATTACTTCACTAAAACATTGATTGTAGTTAATATTTGTCTAATTATTCTAATTAGTATTCTAATAGAAAGTGTATATTGAAGTGCACAATTGGAACCTCTTTTTACAATACATGCCAGACAATGCATAACATAAAAAGGAAAACCTCTGATAATTTTTACCAATTTTACTACTGTAATTTAAACTTTATAGCCAAAGGTTTAAGGACCAAAATTGCTTTTACTATACTTTACATTCCGTATTTTATGTTAACGACAGTTCATAACTGTCATTTAGTATTCTCAATTTGAATTTTATAATGAATGGGCGTGATAACGACACGCCGCTCTTCGCGCCAAATCTTGATAAAGCAGCCAAAAGTATAGATCGAAATAGGTAAATATGTAATAGATATATATATACGTATTAGTCATATACCTGAATAGTTAAGGATGATAATATTATCACAATATCATGAAACTGAAAAGTATTACGTCACCACGATTTATCCGAAACCTAGTCCTAACATGATAAAAGTGTCTATCAAATACTTTGATATTACCTGATAACATAACTAGTAGGGACGACGAATGCCTGCATAGCATTTAAAAAGAAAGTATTAATATAATATTTGTATATACCAAAAAAAAAAAAAATAATCATTATAATAGGTAACAATAAATAGGACCGCTTATCATTGTGTGCAATCAGGTACCTACATGCAATAAGAAAGACAAAGACAACGTAAACAGTTTATTTACAAATTACAAAACGTGATATTTTCATGTCATCAACAAAAATCATACGATAATAGATGTTACTGCATTGACTTAATGACGACAAAAGCGCGCCATAAACATTAAAGTCCGCGGGACAATAAATGCAAGCGCGCCGGTCAATAAAAAAAAACAACTTCCACAAAGTTAGCCAAAACCTGTTTGATGAAACGATACATCTCACCGCCAACTAAAAATAACAATACCGCAGAGCGGAACAAAATCTACACTTAAGATTCATCTATAAATAAATACGTCTCGAGTCCCGCCTACAATAAAAACAAACAAAAAAACATTCAAAACTAAATAAAACTACACTACAGATTACCTATCAAGCAAATTCTCACACACGCGCGCGCAAACGTACATAAACCCAGTACATAACCTATGCACGCTCGCTAAATACCTACTATCCACTGTTATCGATCTAGTATAGAGCCGCAAGCACACGAAAACTAAAAAAAAGCTTTCTAAGAAGCAAAGGTCGTATCACAATCTGCCAACTTGCATTTTGCAAGCGAAACCAACTTGGCAACATTGCAAATCAAGTTTGAAAACAAACACATAACCAAACATTCTATATACGCTTTCAATACATAATAAATAACCCTTTCTATCGGTCAAAATTAATCCCATTATCCCAATAATGCGTTAGAACAGTACAACGATACACAATCTAGTATCTCTGTACCCTACACGCATTCTCTATCTCATATTATATGATAAACATACATATATACACTACTTATGTACATTCATATTGCAAACATATGTTCATACTTTCATTTGTAAGATATTTTAATTAAATTATAAAATGTAACCTAAAATTGTACCTTACTTTTACCGGATTTCGTATACAATTGGTAGGTTATCCTAGGTCATTGAAATCAAGACTTTCGCATGTTTTATTGATATTGTACGCAATGCATTATCGTGTCCGATCATTATTCAAGTTATTTATGTGGAATAACAATGTAAAAAATATTCATATTGGACCTAAAACAACTTTAATCATAACGTGTCAGCGATCAAAACATTGCTCTCGTAAAATGATGTTCTAAGCCGACAACGAACTTCTATGATTGTTGCAAACATGGCGACCGCTATCTGAGCTTCTCGAGCAGCCCGTGGACGCAAATTCATGTCACAAACCTAATACAAAACCGTGTAACGTAAGCAAAAAATATCCTAAAACAATTTCATCTAGACCTCACGAAACCGGCTGTAGCCGCTTTCCTGACAATCTTAAAACCTTGATTTTTTTTTAGCAGATTCCCTGCACTACAAAGAGCTGGAAAACCAGTATGGTTGCGTAAATTGCTATGATTTTCTGTTATAACTTACCTCTTCTGCAATGACTAGTTCCTTGTAATTCAGCTCCGGATATTTACTTTCGTTGCTTTCATCCAAATTTATAGTTAATCTCACTGTTTTGTTCACATTATTCTTTGCACTTTTAGGAGCACCCACTGTTATAAGAGTAGCACGTTTAGGGTCCGACATTTTCCACCAAATTCGTGTATAAAATGATTTTTTTCAAAGCATGACACGACCTGCATTTTCAAACTGTGTAGCACATTGCCACCATGTTGGTATTCATTGTTTGGGTTGTGAGCGCCCCGGAAGGAATGTGAACTAAATCTATTGTTGATAAATGTTGCCGATAGATGTCGACTTAAACTTACTATCAGACTCACAAGATGTCGTTAGTAACTTAAGAATAATTCAAAAAATCGCTACAGAACCGAGTAAAATCACGTTATAAATTGTTATATTCTGTAATTATGCATTATTATTTTTTTAAATATCTGTATTTAAGATCTCCCGTCGAAAGATTAACTGTAATGTTAATTTAAAAATGAGTACTTTGTACAGATGTTTTCCAGGTTTTCATTACACTTGGTTCCTAGCAAATGCAGTAGATGGCTCTTTTGCACAGATAAAATTTTATGTGTTCACTCTTTTACCGACGTCCACAGATAATCAACTCGAAACATACGACGTGTTTATCATTTTTTAACATACATAATTTGTATTAGTAAATAAATGAGTGAAAAAAATACATTTTTTCATCAGATTAAGGACATAAAAAATAAATAAAATAGTTATGGTTGTTAGTATAACGCCATCTACACATAAAAAACTAACTTTTCATACGTAATCTTTCAAAAGTCCTTACATTACAATTTGTTATTTTTTTATGACATAGAGGGCGCAAATTAAAATTACTATTTTAATGCAATGATGTATAAAACTATAGATACGTTGTCCGCGCTCTAAAATGACGACATGAAATGAAGGCAATTGACAACATCGCGCTTAGTTACGCACCAACCTGCCGCGCGACGCTACGTTTGTTTTTAATTTATATCGTGTGTGAAACCTGTGCGAAACATAAAGAAAGCATGTCGTGTGTGTTCAGACGATGTACAAATTATACTCCAAAAGTTAAAGACAAAAATGTGTAATTTCATGCGTAAGTTCACCAAACAACCTATTTTTTTTTATTTTTTTTTTTTCGACGCCGGCGCCCGCCATCTTATGGCGGACGGCGTATGGTCACGTGCCGTCGGCATAACTGAAGATGTATATTTATCTCCCTCTAGCAAAGGCATTCCACTATACGATGTCATATTTTCTTTCCCTTTCTTTACTCGTAGAAGTAGTTATCTAGTATTTTCGCCGTTTTTAAACGCCGCGATGTTGGTTCATGACGTGTCTATATATAATACGTCATTGTTTTAATGTATTTTTTATGACATAGAGGGGGCAAATTCAAATTACTATTTTTAACCGACTTCCGACCGACCAAAAAAGGACCTTCTCCTTTTTTGAAGTCGGTTAAAAATAGTAATTCTCAATTCGACGAGTATTTTTTTTTAATGGAATAAAAACAATATGGTGTCGAGTGATTTTCCATTATCGTGCAATTTCGATTGCGAGATTTTTAAATTAAAACGTCTTCTCCTGCAATTTTTCTAGGATGTTTTCGATATAGGTATCTGAGGATATAGAGTTATTTGGCAAGAATAGTTGTAATTTTATAAACTTACACAATTTTTATCATTGCATCTCATGAGTTGCCAGTGCTTAGTTTAAAAAGTAATTAGAATCGTCTAGTGAAAGCTGGATAAAAATGTTAGACATTATTATAAAGTACAAAGTTAATCTGCCTTCACAACTCGACACTGGCAGTATAGTCAACAACATTGAATTAGAGACTCAGTTGGCATTCAAAGGAAAAAAGTACAAAGGTTGAATGTTTATAGAGTAAAAATTATATGTTTTTAAAGGCTAATTTTATGTTTTTACATGCCTAATGGAATTACAGCAATTCTTAACTTTGTCAATATCATAAGATTTCTAGGTTGCTACGGTACTATTTACCCACTTAATATAGTTTTTTTTTTTCTATTTTTGTCTCATGACTGAAAAAATGATCTTCTCCATCTCTAGTTAGGTAGTAAAATGACACTTTTGTACCTACCTAGTGTCAGACTCTTACTGATTTACTACACATACAGCCTAAGCATTACCATAGAAACAAAAATGTTCGCCATAACATGCCATGAACTAAGATAAACATTACGTTTTCAATCCTGCACCCAATTAAGGGGAGTCAATTCAAATTGAAAGCGAAGCGAGGTTATTAAAAAAAATGAAGCAATCAGCAAAACTGGTGCCGTGGTCTTTAAGAAGGGTATTTTCGGAAAACGCTGATGACTTGGACATTATGAGACCGAGATTCCTATTAAGATATGAGACATTAGTCTCACTTTAGACCCGTTTGCACTAAGCTAGTGATTGCCCAATAAGAAATATCGTAAGCAAGTTACTCTACTGGCAAAGCATCCAAAAAGTAGGTACCTAAACGGACTAGACATTTAGTACCTATGCAGGTTATTTGACACATGCATATAGGTATGTACTTAGGTTAGAGAATGTGTAAAAACCCTGTCTTTTTGAGATTTGTAGGTTACCTAGGTATACCATGTGGCAAACATTTTCGCTGTTGTTATTGTTAACTAGCTTTCGCCCACGGTTTGGTTGATAAAAAGTCTCTAGTCTAGTCCTATCCCAGAGTGTATGTCCTATGCCTGTGCCAAATTTAGTCCAGATCCGTCCAGCCGTTTTGGCGTTATTGAATAACAAACACCCAAACATCGTTACTTTCGCATTTATAATATTGGTAAGATTTTTATGAGAACGACGGGTGCAAACTGCAACCCTCCCTTTACTTTTGTTAAACGTCTTTTTCATATAAATCCATAAATAAGTTTATAAGAAGGGTGAGAGAAACTGGTTTTATTTAGAGTTATTAAGCAACGAGTTATTGAGTAATAAGGTACGCGGCCTCGGCCTGGAACAGAAGAAGGAATGGGGGAGGTTTTAGTTAGTATCTTCGAGTCTGACACTGTTTCTCGCTCTCATGCGAGAGAAGTCATTTGACGATTTTCCCCTTACAAAAAATGGGCTCTATAAATAAGCAGTTATAATACCTAAATAATTAAACTAAGAGCATCTCCAAGTTAGAATAATTAAAATCTCTAACTGGAAAGTAATTTCAGTGTAAATTAATTCCTTTATCTCGGCACGCCAATCCCTTCACTACTCTACTCGCCTAACCACTAGCCTGTTCAAACGGAGCACAAAGTAGATATTATTTCATGAATCCCGAGATATATGACCGCACTCCGAGGATATTATTCATTAGGGAAAATGAAATTTTGACCTCTACCGCCGCGACGTTTTAATGCCAAGCCGTCCCAATTTCCAAAAGCCACTTTTAACTGCTTTACCGACGTTTGGTATAGAGAGTGACCTATTAATTTGTGATTATACTCATATGATTTAATCCCTTTCATGTAGTCCCTTCGGGTCTATTGAATCGTCTGTGGTTCAAGTATTCCAGTGGAATTCGTATTAGGTATAAGTATATTTTTCGTTAAAGGAATATTTCAATTTATAGGTAAAAAGGTTGGTTTGGTATGCTTCGTAAATATGAATGGGAATAATATTATTTTTGGTTTTTGCGGGGTCTAAATAGGTTGGTGGGTAATCCGACCCTTCTGGTTAGGTAAGTAGGTACTGATTCAAAACAAAAGAAAGTAAAAGAGGTCACGTACTGTCACTACGTGACCTTCAGCGCTTCCTTTTGTTTGAGAGCTGCGTTCCGAATACGACCATCATTATGTTTGCTTACCTACCTTTGTGCGATAATATGGCTTTGTCTTGTACAGCTACTAAAATGTAAGGAATTACCTGCTTTATAAAAGAGGATATTAAACATTTTCGTTGTTGCTGTAAAAAACCTGAAATAATTAAATTTATTGTATTTGAATTTAAAAAAAAAATACTGTATTTCGTTTAGGAACGCGACAGTTTTAATGAAAACAAGCCTTAAATCATGCAAATAGGGCACAGAAAACCGGCGTGAAATAGCCACTGCGTTGTGTTTCGCCGTGTGAGTGAGGTTACCGGAGGCCCAATCCTTCCCCTTCCCCAATCCCTCCTCAATCCCTAAATCTCCAAATCCCTAATCCCTAAAAGGTCGGCAACGCACTCGTAACTCCTCTGTTGCGAGTGTCCATGGGCGGCGCTGATTGCTTACCATCAGGTAATCCGTCTGCTCGTTTGCCGAGCTATTACATAAAAAAAAAAACAAAACAGGTAACTATTCCAAAGTAGTTCTAAATAAATATCTTTACAAACTTATTATCTTGCTATATACATGTACTTATGTACCTAGGTGTGCATGTAAGATTGTGAATTGGGGTTTTGCAACTAAACTTTGAAGCAGATATTTTCAACCGATTGAGTTTAAATTTAGTACAAGTAGGTACCTACGCGTTTATTCCAACAAAAAAACGTTGCCCCCACACTAGGATTTTCTCCTGTCTCATGGGTACGTTTACAAATAAACAATTTCATATACACATGACACCCAGACACGGAAAAACAAATTGTAAATCACACAAAGAGTTGTTCCGTGCGGGAATCGAACCCGCGACATGTTGCGCGGCAGCCAGTTGCCCAGCCACCGCGCCAACCGTGCAGTCTAAGTCTAACAATACAATTTAATTTTTTATCAACCTTCAAAAAAATCGTGCCGTTGTTAGTCACCTACGTAATTATGTTTTCTCGAACTACCCGCATTTGGTTTGACAAATGTCGATGTAGATTAGTATACAATTACTCAATAGGTATTGAAGGATAATGGGCGGTATCACATTTAGACAGTAGATAGTTAAATTAAACTTCTGAACTAGATGTATTGTTGGGGCCAAATTGGGCTCCATAGAGCCGGGAGTTGCAGAGCAATCAGTGCCTCCCATGGCCCTCCACAACAACGGAGGAGTTAAGTTACGAGTGCATTGTCGACCTTTTGAGGATTAGGAATTTGGAGATTTCAGAATAGGGGAAACTAAAGGATTGAGCCTCCACTAACCTCACTCACACGGCGAAACACAACAATAACAACTATGGTTGTTTCACGCTGGTTTTTTGTGAGACCGTGGTGTCGCTCAGGTCGAGCCGATCTATTTGTGCCGAAGCATTGTTCTCCAACACTTTCTGACGCTCCCTCTCGCCTTGCCCTGGGTGAA